ACTTAAATTTCGAAAGCTGACACCCACTTTTGGCAAACTGCACCAAAAAGAAACTTTAGCTTCTTCCTCCACCTCTGCACAGGTGGACAGACAATACGCAGCTCCTGAATCAATAATTCACTAGAGAGCAAGATGATCTAGAGGTTAAAAATAATAGTGAAAAATTACAGTTCAACTAATGAGAAGTACTTTAAAGAGAACTTAGAGCCAAGATACTTTAATGTCCAATCAGCCCTAATCGAAACCATCAACCGTTAGATCAAAGCTAGAAAGCTCAACAGAGTCATTTACTTAAGAATAAAAACATATCTGCCATCGTCTAGAAGACGTCAATTCCTGTTTAAGGGGGAATGAAATCTAGTGTACCTACATAACTGCTGTTTGAACTGAGTGAAAATGTAATCTTACCTGTGTTGATAAACATATTGCGAACACAACCACTCCAAGATGAACGATCGTCATTTTGAACATGTTTTTTTCTTCTTCTTCTTCTTTTTTCCTGCTCAACTAACCAGGCCCGTTGGATGAGGATGTCCACGGACACGGCTTCTCTGGAAAAATGTGGGCGCAGCGTCGGACGGAGCTTTTTTATACCGGCTGCAGGTCTGTGACGTCACCAAGGCGCTCAAACGGAGTCCTGGCCACGGTGGAAAAATGCTGTATATTATCGTTTAAATGTGACGTTATCTAACAGTGGGGATAGTTTTGACCATGCGAATTCCCACTGTGTAGTGAATGGCACCCTTCTTGGTTGATTGGGAAGTATATTTATTTAAACGTTTGAAAGCAGGCTGCCCACCCATGTTGATAGGTCTTATTTTTTTCCATTTTGCTCTCAGCCCAGTTTGGTTTATTCCCCCCATTCTTTTCCCACTCCGTAAATCAACCCACATAAAACTTTCCATCACCGTCATGCCAACGTAGCAGGCTGCAGTTTGGATTTTTGTCACCCGTAAAATTTGAATAGGTTGACGGTTTCCGCTGATTCAGTGGGGCTGATGCTTCATTTATTCTTGTTGGCAGGAGACAGTCATATGTATTATCTGACAGTGAAATGCTACCTGGCTGTATATGTTCAGCTCTCTCTACAGGGAGGTTTAAACGGTGTCGCAACAGCGACCCCTGCCGTCCAGCAGTGCGGTAAAAAGATTTGTTTTAACACTCAGGTCATTAACGTGAGTCTGAATACCATAAAGACTAAAAAAAAGTCTAAATGAACACATTTCTCTTTCCAAAATGTTACATTAAGTAAAACTTGTCACACTGATCTGTCAAAGAACTTCATTGCAAAGCCGCTTTAAGCTGAAACTGTCAAAGTGTTCAAAGATGACTGAGGTCAAAAGCACACCTGGTTACTTTGAGTATTATAAACCTAATGGCAGGTAGATTCAAAATGTTTTAATGATATTTTCTTCTTTTGTAAGTTAACTGTTATCAGTAAACAGTATACATATATTGATGATCTTTTGATCTTTCCTTTCTTGAAAGAAAAGAGTAATTGTACCAGAATCTGAACCCATTGGATTTTGTATTTGTGAATACATGAAGCGGTGTTTGTTTCCTCACCAATTTACAAAACGAAATGTCATAACAGCATTCTCTGACACTTTCTTTTAGAATTCAAAGAAACTCCTTTAATTAACAGTTCCATCAGTGATGACTGGCAGTCCTGGTGTAGATTCAACCAAACAGGCCCAAGTTGTGATACAACTATTTGGCACAGAATACATTTTCTAAAATGTTCTTGTGGTTTTGCTTTAGTTTCTGTGGAAAATACTATTTTTCCGGATTGTCTAACTTTTGGACATTTATACCAAAGGATGTCAGGGAGGCCTTTAGTTGATTACAAGCTGGATCCACCGTGACCTTTACAGAATACACACTTTGTATTTGGAGTGATTTATGGGTCAGTCCAGGGGAAGTTAATGATGGTCTTGAATTTCCCCCATGGCAGACGATCTGTCTGACAATGGCAACAACAAGAACTCTCTTTTTCTCCTTACGAAGTTAGAAATCTTTGTGCATGTCACGATCCCTCCACAAACATGCGTTGTGAAGATCAGACTTAGAACACTCCCAAAGAGGGGGGATAACTCACAAATGATTATCCTCCTTTCGATTGAAAACACATGACTCTAATTTCACCTTCAACCCAACAGTTAATCCGACCTTTGACTCCTACAAAATTGAAAATTTTGACCAATTTAGTCTGTCTCTTTAATGTAAAATTATTGAAATGATTTTCGTTATGATTTCGTAGGACTATTGTCGATTTGTTACCCAGCTTTTATGTTTGCATGCTTCAACATCATACACACATTTACCAAACTGCAAGAATACAAACACTGGGCTGTAGTCATCACAAATGGGCACATATTGCCCTCTATCGGTGAAAACACACCACCATAAACCACAGCCTATGCATCTTTATATTAAGGCTGAACAAAGATTTGAACGTTTACATCTCATGAATTGCACTTGATGTTTGTCATAATCATGTGCCCGTTTACTTACTGCAAGTAATCGTGCACATAGCGGCCAATCTCCATGATTGGATCCAGATGTCGCAGACTGTAACTTAAGACTGGAAAGACTGTCTTTGGTCCTGTCATTTGTGTACCTAAGTGGATTTCTGAGGAAATGGTTAGACTGCCCTCACCCCCAGAGGAACCTGAGGGGACAACGCTCCCTGCAGAGGCACCAGATGTGCGCTGTTATGGAGAGCAGGAGAGAGGAGCCTTTTGTGAGCCATCAGATAAGCCCCGTTCCCAAAGCTTTGCGGGATCAGGTGTCATCAGCGAAGTCTACGAGGGGGCGAAACCCAAACCCTGTGCTGTGGATCGGATTTCTGTTTACACGGGCTTGGTCTCCGGGTTTCTCCAACCAGTGCAGGCCGAGGTGGGCTGACAGAGAAAAAAAGGCCTGTGAAACAGTCCTGCTGTCCCGTCTGTTTGAGTCTTCTGGACGTCTGAAGATGTTTTGTGGTAATCTAAACCAAAAATGACACTTGCTGTGAAAAAGTATCCCACCTACCGAGTGCATTAGACCTGGGTGGATCAACACAATGTTGGTCAAAGTAACAGTTGTTCAAAGTTCACATGAGCGCAAATGGATCATCTCAGAAGTTTCATCACTTGCACAGGAACATGATACGGTAATAAATTCCCCGAGCATGAATCAAGAATAACCAAGGGACACATGTTTATGTTCATGGCCCTTGTTTGCACAGGGACACAGCAGTGCACACCTCCCTGGATGTAAACCCTGCTTTAAAGCATGTGTCCTCAGGCGATGGCAGCTCAGGCCAAATGTGGACTTTTCAGGTGTTTTTAGTGCGGCACGGACACACACAGGCCCCACACGCAGACACCGATCAAACAGATGCCATTTGAGAAAGCCCCAAACATTGTGCCACGGTATCATTTAACTCGCAGCGCTCTTTCCATCTCTTTATTTTAAGACAAGAGCGTACAGACAGTGTTTGTACTGTGTCCCCTCAGATAAAACACAGTCTTTGCATTCCATATGAAATGTATCTGTTGAGATTTGGGAGGGGTGGGCGCCAGGTGTTGGGTTACATCAAATCAGATGGCCCTCCCTTCACAGAGCTCACAAGTAAGGCCGGAAGTCCTGGGATGAGCCTTCCATAATAAAATCTTTTATGTTACAACTCTGTGTAATCTGCAATGCCTTGTTATAGATACGTTTATAACTTAACGTCTTTGTCTCAGATAAGTGAAAATTTAACAATGTATTACCTACTGTAAAGCAATTTGGATTATTACTAATATAAATAAAAACCAAATGCTCTTTCACTATATTTTCACATGTATTACGATGAAAATCAGAATAATTATATCCATTCTCAGAAATATAGCTGATGTGGCCTTGATCAAACCGTAAACAAAAGAAATGAAACAGGCAAGGGTTGACACTTGCAGACTTGAGTTTCTTCTAGTTTTTGGAAATCAAATGTTCCAAAGAAGTCAGTGAAAAAAAAAGAAAAGTTGCCTTTCTTTATTTCTTAAAAGCCAGAATGTAAATGCATACAGACATGGCCATTATTAGGGTGACAAATAAGAGGGTTTTCCAGCATGCTTGCTCAACCCTGCTCAGTTTACCGTGCCTCACCATTACTTGGTTGAAATGCTTTACCATAACAAATAAAGCCCTAAGAGAAAGACCACCCCATGACGTCATTTGTATGTGACACAAAACAAAACACTATCGAAGGGCATCATGGCTGAACATCTGTGTAGGTCAATGCATAAGGCCTTGTACAAAGGTTATGACCGCATGAATAATGAAATGTAACGTTTGTTGTTGTTGAGTTTTTAAAACAGACAGTGTTCTCTTAAAGAGTCTCTTCCATGACTCATTGAGTCCTGTGACCCCCCCTGGCCAGTAAGTGGCTGGCAAGTGAGTAGCTGGCTGCCAAGTAGGTGCTGAAATTGTAACCTTTAGTCGTCAGCCCCTAATGGAAATATAAAAAGAACAGAATTAGCCCCACTGAGACTTGCTTAATAGTGCTAAACTTGCCTGCCAGCAAAACATAAAAAACTGGGTGCAAAGATATGAACCCCTTTAAGAGTACAAGAACTAATTCCCAAACTCTTAGCGTTTTTAAAAGTGTGATGTGTGACTTCAAATTGAACTCTTGTTTGGATGGTGGGAAGAAGCGAGAACCCAGAGAGAACCCATGCAGACACAGGGAGAACATGCAAACTATACACTGAAAGGTCCTGGTTCCGTCCTGATGTGTGACCTGTATATTGGATTCTTTGTTTGTTACTGAAATTGAAGTAAAATTTCAACATGGATTCGATTGTAATTTACCTGGTCTCTTTGCTTATTAACTTCAAAGTCCTTTCATCTTACTTCATCTGTATTTATTATTTTCTAGTTCCTATCTCTAAAAGGGCCTTCACTTTGAAAATCTCAACAGGAACCCGCTTCTTGAGCGTCAGCAGCAGTTTGACAGCGGTGGAGAAGAGAGAGTGGGGATTGTTCAGTGGCGGGGTCTCCAACGCGGACAGTACACGCATGTTCTTTGGAGCCGTATGGTGCGAAGCCCCAGATGAGGGACTCAGACGTCCAGGAATGACGGCCGCTGTCAACGAGAGTGACATCCTTCACTCTGAGCGACTTCGCTAGAACTACTCCGGCTGACACCCAAACCGATCCGGATTGGATCCTGCCAGACCAGGACTATGCCAGAGATGGAGAAAGGCAGACCACCGGAAAATAAACGCAGCAGGAAACCAGCGCACCCCGTGAAGAGGGAGATCAATCAGGAGATGAAGGTGAGAATCTGCTCGTATTCTATTGATAGATTCGTTTTTTGACCAGGTAGATTTACGATGCGAGCGAACTCTAACTTTTTTCCTTTTGCGCACGCATCCAAACAGACCCTGAACTGCGCACAAATCAGTGCCGATAACATAAAACACACACACAATCCTTTTTTTTCACAGTATATGCTCTTATTTATTATTTTTGATGCCAGTTAATTATTTAATCGAGCCTTACCCCAAATGTAGAAAAAGTTGTAAATCTTCACGCGTTTTGGGAAACGATTCAATGAAAAAAAAAAGCAAACGAGAACTGTTATTCAAGGAGACACAGGGCGTTTTGAATGTAGATGTCAGTCGTTAACTAAGAAGAATAGCTTGACATTTGCACTCTAGTGACGCCATGTCAGCCAGCTGTGGTCAGACACGCACTCTGTAATGTCCAGCGGAGATCCAGATGTGCGTCACTTCTTCCTCGCTCCCTGCGGTGCGCTCACTTGCTGCACCACAGAGACCCATGTGAAAGAGAGAAGGGCATTTATATTCCTTAAATAGCCTGCTTCAGGCATGTACTGGGAAAAGTCGAAAACTGTGTCTCACAATTCTCAAAATATCAAGCATCCCATTAAAGGGAAGCTCCTGCCAAAAGACAGAACACTTAACACTGATAAAAAAGACAAGGAATCCCTCGTCTGTGCAGCAACTGCACAGGCAATAAGAAGTTAAATCAGAGAAACAGACATACTCCCTCCTCCCATTATGCCCTATTGCATGGAAACTAATCCCAGGATTGTCTGCTTTGTTTGGGTTTGGACACTGGCTATTTGACACGCTTTACTGTGGTGGTAAAGGATATTTAAGGATCTTTCAAGCTGAAGCGGAGAAATCTAAAAAGACAAGCCATTTTCTTGGGGGAAATTTTGGCCTTTCATGAGAAAGGAAACATGCTTTTTGTGTGTGTGCGTGAGTGGTTTGGATCATAGTGTTTGATATCCTGGGGAGGTGTAGTGTTACATTTTAACTAATTTTAATCAAAACATGTGAAATTGTATCCTTGCTTGATGTGAGTCTGCCTGGGCTGGATCTCGGGGTCGGCCCCAGTTTGTTGCCTTTGGCTGCAACTCTGTGTGGTTTGGGATATGGCTTGTCACTCTTACAAAGCAGATGTTTGTCCAAACTGCCAAAAAGAAACAAAAACAACTTTGTGGGAAGTGCAGGACTGGATGAGTGAAATTAATTCTTTCTTTAAGGAGACAAAAGTCACAAGTCACACATGGTTTTAGAATTGATGCATGTGTAGTCTTTCTGGGGAACGGCAACAGGAATATGCAGCAAAACAAACAAACAATACAATTGCAAAGTGAAATCCCAGATCTGTGCATCTTTTAAATTAACCGAATGATGGAACAGCAAAGGAAAAAGAGTGAAAGAAAGATAGACAGGAGGGCAGACAAAATGATTTCTTGTTGAGCTGAGGTCCATCCCAGTGTTGTCTCAGTAATACATCTGTTTCAACACCACATTCGGACCTACTCCCTCCACGTCAGACCAAAGCACAGCACCAGACACCGGATACTTAACTTTAATCATCGTTAGGCATATTTAGCTGGATATGATACCACTGCTTTCACTCACCCACACACTCTCCCAGACGCACACACTGAGCAGAAAGTGAGCAAGCGAGGGAGAGATCCATTTCTTTGAGGCCCTAGTGCAGAGCAGAGGTCGGAGTGAGGAAAGCAGGGAAAGAATGTGCAGTCAGTACTACAGCACTACAACACCACCACAGCAGACTGGCTGTGCTGGAAAAGGGTGAAACCTGAGCAGCAGGGCTGTGTCGGGTGTCAGGGCTGGAAGGTGCTGGGATGGAGGGGAGGATGGGGAAGATGGGAGGTGGTGGAGAAATAGAGGCAAGGGGAGGGACAGGGAAAGCTGGAGAAAGGGAATGAGTGTCGGACATTAGAAAGAGAAGAGGAGAGAGGAGTGGGGCATTTCTGAGAACCAGGGGACTTTGCCGTGGTGTAGGGTGTCCCGCTCTGATTTCTGCCCATTCCGGATCAGGTTTCTCCTCCAATCCTGTTCCTCTAAAGCCACAGCGAGAGGTGGGTGGATAAAAAAGGGACCTTTGTATTTTTTTTTCATCTGGTCGTAATAAAAATATAAGACCACACATCCCATCTGTGCAGAACAGTTTTCTTTTCCCTCCGTTTTTTCCAATTAAAAGAGATAAACAAAGGATGATTCATAGATTTCACACTGGTGTTAGGTTTTAAACCTTTCCGTCTCAGATTTAGCAAGAGTAAACAACTTGGAATACATCATGGAAAAAGAGTCATACTGTACTCCACTGTGCCCCTATTCATTTCTCCAGAAGGGCTGGGGCTGAGAAAGAATCCCTCACATTGATTCAGAGTAAGAAGGTCTGATTATGTTTAACATAGGATAAAAAGTTCCACTAATAGCCCTGAGATGCATGCTTACAATTTTGTTTTTTGGCATCCGGGTTTTACTTGATATCTTAATTCCCATTCCTCTTTTCTCTCTTACAGACATTTGCGGAGAGCACCATGAATGAGCTCCTGGGATGGTATGGGTACGACAAGGTGGACCTTAGAGAATCGGAGGCCAACGAGATCAGAAACTACAGAGAGAGGCGTCAGCATGTGTCTGTGCTAAAAGGTGAGGGCAGGTGTCGACAGGTCACTGTTGGTGCAGTGTTACACTTACCAACAGGTTCTGCTAGTTTTTGGTGCAGACATTGAGTCACTGCACAAATGTGCCAGACATATTATCCAGTGATTCCAAGTACTCGGGTTTCCTTAATCCAGATGCATCTGTTGTTCGTGTGAAGGCTATTATGCTATCGTATAAGCCATACTGTGTTTATTGCGTTGTGTGACAAAACCAGGTTGATGTTGCATCCTATTCATGTCTTTCAGAAAACTCATTGCCAAAACCTAAAAGCCTAGAAACCAAAGGCAGTCACTCTGTCTTGACCATGAAGAGTGGAGAGAGGGAATCCTCCAGTGTCTCTTCCTCTTCACCCTCTTCTTCATCAACAAGTTCATCACTCACCACTCCCAAGGAGCATAAGACTTCCCCTGTCATTGTTCCGCTCATAAAGCCATCAGCAGGTATGGGGATTCTCATGGGGATATAGAAAAAGTGATCATATGATCACCTTCACCTTCTGCTGCTTCATATTAGCTATGCTAAAATATGCTATGCTTCATATTCATTCTGATAATCCATAACTGGAATTCTATTTATTGTATGTACTTAGAGGTAAGGGTGTAAGGCCAGCTGCAGATGACTGAGCAGGTATTGGTTTCAGCTTTTTCCTAAAAGGTTCTTGAGCGGTAATAGAAGCCCTGGAGAAAGTAAGGAGGTGCTGTAGTCACATGACATGTGTGCCTGTCCTCTAGTTACTTGGTGTTAATCATTTCGGTTTAGTTTAGTGTTCTTTTAGGAATTATCAACTCTCCAGATGGATTTTTTTAACTTAAGCTAACAAGCAAAAGTTATGAAAACTGATATATCTGACGTTTGGATTCCACATCACTTTGTAGTAATACTTTTATATAAATTACTTTGCAAGTTTTGTTGCCACAACAGCAGGAAATGCAGCATGAAAAGGTCAGGCCAGTGAAACTGATCTACCTATATAATGCCACCTTTTCCCACACCTATTACGATTTTCAGTTGTTTTGATCACGTTTTAAAGAAACTTTATATGTTTGTTTTTTTATATAACTAGGAAAAGTTGGTATCTGTTTTTTCTGTACAGCTTATGAGTTATAGCCCTGTCCCTGCATAGAAGACTCCACCACTCGGTACTAAATGTGCCACTGATCAGAGAGTGCTCACTGAGGATGGATGTAAAAGTCTACGAATGAAGCTACCAAGTTCAAAATCAATCACAGCTCCATTTCACTGAGTTTGTGAAGTTAAAACAAAAATATTCTGTCAACTTGCTTTCTCACTGCAGCCTAAGTGCATATCAAAAATAAGAATGAACAAAGTTGGAGCTCTGGACTCCCCCTGGGAGGATATTACAATGGAATTAATTAACTTTTTGATCTACCACATAGCAAGTCTTGAGCACCTCCAGCTATCATCTAATTACCAGCTAAACTGACCTGTGCGTCTTGTGAACAATGTGAAATTACATGTTTTTTCTGTTGACTCTCTGTTCAAAGACACTACCGTGACACTGAGCTGTATATCATATCTTTTCATATTGACTGATTGATCTCCCTCCTTTATTCTGTTTCCCCTGCAGTGGAAGATGTGCAGAATGTGCAGATAGTATGTGTTTGGTGCCAGAAGGAAGGTGTAAAACGCTACTCACTATGTATGGGTTCGGAGCTCAAGAGCTTCTGTAGTGAGAAGTGCTTTGCTGCCTGCAGACGGGCTTACTTCAAACGTAACAAGGTTAGTGGGGATCATGCATACTGTATCTAACGCTGTGGGTAGTCAAACAAATGGTTTTCTTGTTGATGATGTCTTGATATAAGCAAGATGAAGAATTAGCACCTGATGTTTCAATAGTTTTAGAGTTTGGGAAGGTTGTGCTGTGCAAGTATTATGTGTTGCACGTAAAGAAACATAAAGTTGCCGTTTTTGTATAGTTTGGCCTGGCAGAATCGCTATACATGCAGATTAAGGAGGAGTTTTCTGGTATGTAGACCACTACAAGCATATACTCCAGGTCTTCTGAGGTTATAAGTCACGCATTTCGTGAATTAAAAAAAGAAAACCTTGACGAGCAGAGTTCCTAATTGGTATGGCATAGCCCATTCAGGAATGGTGGTAGCGGTGGGAGGGGGGTCTGACTTTATACAGGACACTTAGTATCGGGTTCGCGTTAATGCAGAAGCAACCGGCCATTAAGTGGCTTTGGTCTGGAGGACAGGAAAGCTGCAGCTCGGAAGAAACACTCTGATGCACATGGTCATGATTTTTTACCTTCCATTATGCCATGGATATACCACCTTTAGTGGTGCGGGGTGACAAGCTGCCGGATAGTCTTTCACGGTCCGTGTTGTTTATACTTTGGGGGGCTTATTCACAAAACAACATAGACACAAAGGAAGACTGAGCAGACTGTGCAACAAGGCCTCAATGTTTTTGAAGGCGGGGAGAAAAGCATTTCTGTTGGCTTGTTGCTGCTTGTCTGAGAGGAAGGCCAGGAGGCCTGGGGCGAGGTGTCCACTTTCAGTGCATACCTTACCTTCAGCTGCCTCATGTTTCGTAACTCAACACGACTCATTGGGTCACAGAGATGGGGGAGCACTCAGATCCACAGCATATCAATTTACATGAATCAGGAGGAATTTCCTATATTAATACTGGCTGGAGCATTGGTGCTTTGACAATACATCACCTGCATTATCTCCCTACTTGGTTGGGGCTTCATATCTGTTACAACCAACAAGTTGCCTTTAGGGATTAAGGTAACATATTTGAAGTTCTATCTGTTTAATGCAATATATTGATTTGAAATGATTTTTTGTCTTTTTATGTCACAGCTCAGCTCTGGTTTTATGTGCATAGTGATTCCACTGAAGCGTTTGAGGATGAACTCAAACTGACTCACAGTGGTGTGTCATGTTTGTCACTCTGTGGTTTTCCCCTGTCAGGCCAGAGACGAAGATCTCCACAGTGAGAGATCCCCCCAGCACCCACATCCAGAGGACTCGCCCAGACTGGTGTTAAAGATAAATACCAATGTCAGAGTAAGAGGACACTGTATCTTTTGTTTTCCGCTCTTAAGTATTGATATAGGTAGGCTATGAAATTACAAGTTTTAAACATACAGAATTATGACCCCCCACAGTCTCTCTCCCCTGTGCCACAGGTATGTGATTGGTGCAAGCATGTTCGTCACACTAAAGAATATCTTGACTTTGGATCTGGAGAGGAACGACTGCAGTTCTGCAGCACCAAGTGTCTGAACCAGTACAAGATGGATGTTTTCTACCGAGAAGCCCGCGCAGCTCTTACCACGACCAGCTCAAGCCCAAACAGAACCAGCCAGGATGGGAGGGTGGATGGCAATGTGGCTGGGCAAAAGCTACTTACGCCTGAGTCTTGGAACAGCAGCAGCAGTACAGGGGAAGCATGTCACAGGAACCTCTCTCCGAAAGGGTCCGCACTAATTCACGGACCAGCAGAATCCACTTCTATCTCACCCTCAGAAGCTCCTTCTTCTTGCAAAGTACCTGTCTCAGGGCATAGGAACCTTGATAGATCTGTTCAGCCACCTCTCCCTAATCTAGAGGTTACACCCCACACGGTTCCCCTGCCTCATCCACCTCCTCCTCGCCCATCTCTGGAACAAAAGCCGATGCCCCAAATCCCCATACCGTTTATCAGACCTCCTCTTCATGCTCAGGGCCTAAAAAGCCCCCTTGCCAATCATCCTCGACATCCAGGTGCCTCTTCCAGCCCTATCCACAGACCCCCACACTCTCCTCACCTGCAGCCCCCAAGCGCTACTTCCATGAATCCACCTGGACTGATGCATCCTTTCCCAGGAGCTTACTTTCCTGGTTTGCACTCTCCTCCTCTGAACATGATGCCAAGGGGCCCCGTTCCAATGCCTCCCATAATGAACTATGGTATTCCCTCCTTTTGTCCTCTGCTTCCCCAACCCACAGTCCTAGTGCCTTACCCCATTATTGTTCCCTTGCCCGTCCCCATACCCATTCCTATCCCCATTCCAATTCCCCCGAAAGCAGCAGCAGAAACTCCGAATCACAGTGGAGTTATCCAGCCTGTGCCAGAGGGAATAGACAGAAGTAGATTTAGGGCCAACAGGCCAACGTCTCCAGGAATCTCTGAAGTAGACGGTAGACTAATGGTCAATAAATTGGGTTTAACCTTTCCTCAAAGCCTCACATCACCAAGTGACTCCACCTCTAGGGACACAGATTGGGTTAAGTCAGAGAGGCCATTTCTGTCCCCAGCATCCACACCACAGAGTGGGGCATCTTCCCCCAGAGCGCAGTACAATGAGTTGTCCTGCCCTGCTACAGGATCTGAGGGACAGACAGACTTTAAGCTGCACACAGAGCGGCAAGTCATCCAAAGGGTTCTCCAAAGGACCCAAGTGAAGCTGGAACCCAGTGCCAATGGAATGATAGACCTATCAGGGCTTGGGGAGTCAGCAACCGGGCATGTTAGCAGACCAGGACTCCATGACATCATCAAACCCACCCCTTCTCTATCACAGTCACCTTCACATGACACCATAAAACAGCTACAGGACTCCCACTCACCACCTTCACACACCCCACCCAGCCCCATAGGGAGCAGCCTACATGAAGCCAAGTCCTCCACCCTGACATCTCAGGACCATGGTCAAAATGGGGTGACCTCCTCATCCACACCTGCCAGTATGGACTCCTCCCTACCCCAGAAATTACCAGCACCAACCCATGACCCTGCACTTAGTGAGCTGGAAGCTGTCAAAGAGAATAAGTGCTCAGTTGTTAGTCCAGTGAGGATTGAAGGTCCCATCAGTCAAATTGAAGGGCCCTTAACAGTAGTTGGAGATGCAGTAGAGGACTCCCATGTTCCTGATGAGGACCATGCCTATGCCCTGCCCACAGCGCCAAAGACAGGTGGGACTGCCACCCCACTGCTCTTGCCCAAACTCAGGGACAAGGGTAGCCTGCGGAGTCCTGCTAATGTGCCCAGTGCTGGAGACATGGAGCCAGCTCTGAAGAGGCGGTGCCTGCGAATCCGAGATCAGAATAAGTAGAGATGAGAGGTGGGTTTCATGTTAAAATTTTAATGAAAATGTTGAAATCACGCTGTTAATGTGTTAAAGATGAAACATTTTTTATGTCACTTGATAACCAATTCGACTGCAAATTCATTTGCATAAAGCGTCATTGAGGCATTTCAAAATACACCATTGAAAACTATACATTTATTTTCAAAAGTCGGTTCAACAGGGACTGGAAAATCTGCTCATATACACATTCACACATACACAGGGAAAGCTTAATCACAGGTCTCACAGTATGCTCATGGTCACTAAACAACATGGCGCCAAACAGAGAGAATCCCAGTAACCTGGCACTCCTTAGTCCTCTAAAGTTACAACAGAGGAAGGAGGTGGAGGGCACAAGCAGTGAGAGTCACTTTGAAAGGCGATCGCTTTACCACAACCCCACAGTCACAATACTTCGTTTGCATGGCCGTCTTTTTTTCAGTCTCAAATCTGCCATGGTAAATGCATCTTAATCAGATGGGAAGAGAGAATCTGACACTTTGACCATGTCCAAATCAGGGAACAGTTTGTCCTTAATAAAGTGGTAGTGAGTTCATAAGCTGGAAACAGATAGCTGCTGCCGAGTCAAAACTTTGACCTTCAGGTTAGGGGACAGCCAGTCCAAAATGACACTCAGACAAAGCGACGGATCAAGTCACTGTCTAGCAGTCTGAACTGCAAGGCAATGCAGACATCTTTCTGAGGCTATAGTAGAGACAGAGGTGAATGTCAGGCAGACTGCAAGGCGCTGTGAATATGAGAGGCAGACCTCTGCTGTGATAGAGCTCTGGGGTTTTATTAGAAAACACAGGGACTGAATACAAGCGATCCGATTTCGCATGTCATAACGACACTGTTCTGGCTTTGGCTCGTCTCACCCCGTGTATAAGTTTGCAGTCTCCTCGCTCTTTTCAGTGCCTTTCCTTTTCTTCCCTCGACACTGCTCTTTGCTGCCAAGCAGATGTTGTTGTAAGAATGCAGCAGGAAAGCCTCTTCGCTTTGGACCAATCAAAGGCGCTCTTCGTTTCACTGGCTTGGCTTTCCACCCATCATCCTCACCTGCTAGTATCTCATCATAACATGATCATGTTTCCATTTTAGCTTCATGTGCTGAGATTAATCTGGTGATATTACAGAGATGGTTCAGATATCAACCAGCATACCTGCCTCTCTGTATTTCTTTTCAAACCACCAAAGGCCATAGGTCATATTAATAATTGTGCTTCATCTTGAGGGCTGTTGACAGTGACAGAGCAACGGAAACCTTTCTGTTACACCCCAGATGTTTAGAGCCTTAGAGCAACAAGATTTCCTTTCACTAAATTAGTTCCCTTTTTGCTCTTTGTCATCTGTTTTGGTTTCATGCATCGCTGTAGTAACAAAGTGTGCTGCTTAGGTCGTGCAGACTGGTTTATGGCCTTGCGTTGCATGTAACGGGATCTGGTTGCCGCATGTGAATGACTTTAGCTTGCCACCTCTGTGCTCTGAGCTGAACATTGCTGTCTTGTTCTATTGTCCCAGTTGCTAAAAGTCCTCCTAAAAAAAAAAATCCCAGTCTGGCAGAATCAGCAGCCAACTGGAAGATTTCACCTCAGGAAACAGTGCGTTTTTTCGTCTCAGTTTTCTTTGCCTTTATTTGGGATATTTTATAGCCCCGTGTAATCTGATCCCACCACATGGGTATTCGCTGAGCGTTTGAAACTAAAACGCAATGGGACAGAGGGAGTACAGAACCCTGGTTTGGCCCTTCTGTGTGTGTTTGCGTTTCGTATGTGTGTTTGAATGAGACTCTGTGTAAGTGCGCGTGAGAGAAAAGAGGCCAGATGTTCTTAGTTTGATTGTGCCCTGTGCAACACTTATCTGAGTGTTGACATGGCTAAAAGCCCTATTCTCTCTGTTTATATAGAATGGATGGATTAAGTAACAAACAACCAGAGCAGGAGAGTTTTATAAGTTATGTTAAAACTGAAAATCACAAAGAATCTTTTCAGAATCTCTAACATCTCACTGCTCTTTCTCTCTCTTTCTGTTTTTTTGTTTTTTACTTTGCTGCCCATGCCACCAAATGAACAGATTCCCTGCTTAATACTGTACAGCAGAGACAGAGTCAGTGCCACGCCCTCTTGTGGACATCACCGATGCTTACAACCTCCAGCCTGCCCCTCAGCCTGTCAGCCCACCAGAGTGTTGTTCTGCCTGTAGACCAGCAGGGTGCCAAGCCAGGAAGCCGTCCAGATGGCCGAATAATCACCAGTCAATAAGGGGGAAGATCACACAACACAATCACACTTTTTTGTCTTGGACCAAAGAACACCGGCTTGTGTGTTACCGAGTTCAGTGAGCAATCGAAAAAGAAAGAATCTCAGATTCTTTTCCTGTCTGACATTGCCCTAAAGCATGTTTGTGTGCACAAGTTAGTGTGGCAGCCCAGATGCTCTCCTCCTCCTCTCCTTCTTCCACACAGCAGACAGCGCTCTGATCAGCCTTGTGTGGTCTTCTCAGATGGAGCCTGAACATGATCTCTTTCCAGGGGAAACGGTTTGTTTTCTCTGCCCGGCTTGCACAAAGAGCCACATTGTTCCTTTCGCCATATCCCACGCTGACTCCCCACTCCAGGTTTTGGGTTACCTGGCTGATGGGGGCTCAGACTTCAGGAGCTTTTTAAAAAAAGAAAAAATAGCATCAGCCAAGAATATAGTATAGCCCTCTCTCCTCCACCTACCCGCCCAATCTAAATACAGTATGCACTCCAAACACTGGTTCTGAGGTTTTATCCTTTGCAGCTGATTGCCTGCGATTCTCCATTGGGCTCAGTTGCCCTGAGGGAGGAGAGAAATATGTTGAGATGAAGACTTTGGCTCTGTGTTCAGAGCCAGGCTGAAGAATCCCCGAAGAGAGTTTCCACTTTCTCTGCTATGGCAATGTAACAGTACACCGACTGTTTGAGGGTCAGTTTCTGAGATGATCTGTGAACACTAATCGTCACGATGACGCTGGTACACAAATGTGTGATTTACAGATCTGCAATCACTCCTCTGAATCTACCAAATGTTGGAAAGTAGATCAGAGCCGAATCCGAGCACTGAGTGCCATGCATGTTTAAATCCTATGACAGTTCTGATGTGACAATTTAACTGATCCAAATCCAGATTGTTATTTTTATCGTATGGTATCTGCTCTGATGTGATTGTTCTGACGAAACAAAACTAATGTAATATAACCAAATGTGGTGTTATACTCGAAAGCATCAAATGCTGTCATATGCAGCAATCAGTATTACAGTTCCTGCTGTTGAGGAAACCCTGATCGAGCACGATCAGTCAACACTTGCCCAGTTGTACAATATCAGTTTTAAAGTTTAAGTCAGCACAGATACTATTTGATCTTATATTAACTTATGGATGACACATTTATAGATTTTCAAAAATACTTTATTTCCTCATTTGTATTTTACTTTGATTATATTTTGTGGGTGCCGAAAACCCTTAAATGCCCCGTGCCTATGTGTTTATATGCTGCATCTCCACTAGAGAGCAGTGTTTACCTTGTGTTATTTTGCACCTTCCTCAATCTGACTACAAATGACCAGAAGGCCCATAGGCAGCCCGTTAAAACCGAGCTCACCGGACAAAACAGTCCACCTGGTGCCATCAGTCCGAAAGCTGAATTATACCCCCAACATTTTGCTATAATTTTGCCTTTGAGTCCAAATACTCTCTACTTGAACAAGCCCCTCAACTCTTTTTCGTAATAAAAGACTCCATGACCTACAACCCATGCTATCATTCCAAAACCGCCCATGTATGTGTCCCTACATTACACTGTCTCCCCACTCATTCCAGCCTTCATCTTCACCACCGATCATACCATCATGACAGTGTCATCCTCAGATGGCAAGAGAATGTCAACAGCCTGTATGAGTCAGCAATGACATCACTCCAAATAAACAGCTGCAGTGTCAACAGTTCTTCGCCAAAACCTGCCAACACGTACATCATTTGGAGTGCCACTATTGGTTTAAATTGCTTTAATTAATAGAATCTCAACACCGGTATTTCTCAGCTGATCCAACATTTCTGGACATGGTACTTTTGTGTCCGAGGATTTTTGCTACTGTTGTTTAAAATTGCATAGACTCCGTCTGACCTCCCCTGACACACATTTAGCTTACTATCTCAAATTAAACTGTCTGATTGTTTGTATTTGAATGAATATAAAGTAACCAAGAGCTTTGTTGGAGATCTCTTTGTAAAGTGAAATAAATAAAAGTTATTCTAAGAGCAAATGATTGACTTGTTTTTTGCGTATTATGTTTAACTTTCATTTATGTTGGATTATATCCCTTTAAATTATAATATTGTGATTTGAAAAAGTGCACATTGAATACATAACGTCATTGTGGATGTTATACATATCTATTTTTAGTTCCAGGGCATCTGAAATGAAGCACATCAACATTCCTAAAATACTGACAGTTAGTACGGCCTCTTTTCAGTGACAGTGAAATCAGATGAATGAGATAAGGGAGCAGGAATTCCGGATTGCCTGGGTCTTGCTGCTAGCGATTTCTACAGGGAGTTTTAGAGTGGATGGTGATAGTTTGACCAAGGAAAGCCACTAAGGTCAAGTGTAAAAGACCAAAAGGGTTGAAACGAAGTTTTTGTAAAGACGTAGTAGGGAAAATTAGGATACAGCTTGTTTTTTTAATCAAGCCACCTATACATGTATGAAACTAACCGGATGTACAGTTTCACCTCTAAATAAATACACAAATCCTGTCATCTGGATAATAATAAAAGTTATATAACCTTCTTGTATAAATAAAAACACAATTGCAAAAAGAAAGTTAATCATTTTTAAAATCCACGAAGAAAATCTATACTTTGAAATGTTTGCAGAAATTACATTGCTGAAGTTTCTCCTTATGAGTTTTTCCAGGCTTTGTCTCTAATTAAAAGTTGATAGTTAATGTGTTGCAAATTATGATCACTTAGAATGTAATGTTCTTCCTACTCTTTGTGTCTGTTGATGGATATATTTGATGTGTTGATAAATATGTCTGTACTTATGAAAACGAATTATTTATGAATCTACTATGTTCAACGTGTTCCATGACCATGTTCCCCAAGTGGGGACAGACCTGAGCACCTTTAGTGTGAAAGTGACGGCAGGAAATCAGCGGGGCGTGCTTGGTCTGGTTTCACAGTGCTGTGCCGCACAGGTTGAACACACTGTTGTCGGATAGGGTTTTGTTCAATCCACCTGGCGAGAGGCGCCGACGGGACGCAACAAGGCGAGAAAAGCGCGTTGCGTTCGAGCCCGAGACGTTTGCTCTTTCTCTTGATATTAATAGGAACGGGCGTCTGTGCGCTTTTTTTTCTTAGGGTGAAACATTAACTTGATGACTCGAGCCACAGTTTACCGAGGAACAGACATGAGGAGCTGAGCCGCGGCGCAGAGGAGTGCGCGTCCGCGGACGGAAAAAAGCGTCCCACAGGTGTTTTTGTCCTCTCACGTTTTCAAGTCATTTCAACTGGAAAGAGAAAAAAACGCTGAGTTGCGATCATGCTGGGAGCAGAAAGCAGACTGGAGAGCCAGCTGAAGAAGCTGGAGTCCCTAATGAGGAACCAACAGTCGGCGCTCAACTTTGAGACTCTTCTGGTGAGTTTGCGTTTGCCCTGCGGGGTGGTCTGGCTGAGCGAGTCACGCGCATATTTCTGCGTAATTATTCCTTAATGAAAAGACAGCTGTGGTGGAATACCGTGGAAAAGTACTATGCAAGACCAAATAAACCTGTTATTGTAAAATACAGAGGAATGAGTGAGTGGTTGATCGAATCATGCGTTCAGCTGAGCTTATCATTTATTTTAATCAGAGGTGTAGCAGAGGAAAGCCCCACCTAAACTCAATGTTCAGCCACCTTTCCTGTCTGGAATGCAGCATTCCCCTCCTTACCAGTGGATTATATAATTAGCCGTAAAGTGTGGTGATAATAAAGTCAATCTGTTTTGATAAGGCTTCATAGATTATTTTACTTGAGCCAAAATGCCCTTCAGCCACAGTTTTTGTGTGTGCTTGCGATTACCTGTTCAATCTCATGGTGTAGTCTCTAAAATGACATGGCCTCGCTCTGACCTGTACTAAGAATGCCCTCAGATATGGATTAGTTTCTGTAACGGCCCCTCTGCATTGTCAGGATCTCACACAAAGCCAAAGCCCAAAACTCAACCCTCTCTGAAGACTTCCATTTGCTGTGCTTACAGTGTATGGGTAGTTTATTTTCGTTGTTTTTGTTTGTTTGTTGGATTCATTTTTTGTAGTAAGAGAAACAGGAATCTTTACGTGGGGTAAACATATTGATTTCAATCCGGAGGTTCAGAACAGTCCATTTAGTAATACAGTTGCCTCATACAAGTTTAATATTCACGCCCAGTGTCTCTTAGTTGGTGTTTTTGTTTGGTTGTTTTTTTTTGCTCTCTCTTTAGCAAAGTTAAGTCCACTCAGTCATAGATAGCTGGGTGCGTACATTTGAAGGCAGTTGAGGATTTTTCATTTGCCCTCATGAGAGAGCCATTTCTATTCTCAGTTGATGAGTCACAAGCAAAGTCCAGGTAGTTCAAGTCCAACTGAAGGCTGTGGCCGAAGCGGACAACAAAGCGATGTGAACCTACTCATGTCAGTGTTGAGTGTCCTTCCGAATCCCAACAGTAATCATTTTTTGATTCTTATCTTTACAGTCAGCTTTGGCTGGATTTGTAAAGCTGCTCTGTAGTAGAGTCAATAGTGGCCACTGTGCTTCCTCACATGAGAGCCACCTCACAGGAAGCTGAGGGGAACTTCCTGGAATTGAGATGGAGATAACCTGCTATGACCTCATATGTCCTTTTCCTGTTTTGTTTTTGTTGTGTACAAAAGATGTTTGGAAGTTTTTTGGTTTCGTCTCGCAGGAGAAATTGCTTCATTAAAACGGTAAACTGTATCGTTTTTGTCTCTGCAATGGCGTTTTTGTTTTGTTGATGCCTGGAACAGCATGAGCTGATTATAATGTCCAGTTTAGACACGTATGGAATTTGTTTATGATTTTTTTCAATAATAATCATAATATTAGGATATTCATCATTAAAGTACTCAACAACTTCATTCAGCTCATCAATTTGTTACTTTTTTGTGTTTTTTATTTACAGGGACATCAATAATTGAAAAACAATGCGTATATGAGGCATGATTATCTCAGTTGAAATGATCCATTAATATTGCGCTTTTTGATTTTATCAGCTCAACTTAGATGACACACAAGTATCTTTTAAGTTACTGGTTCATGTCTAGAATTGCCCATATTCCGGTGAAATTAAACAAGTTGGGTCTGGCAAGCTTATATGATATTGATATGTTTAAATGATAGAAAACCGTGTAAACCATCAGTAGGAGTATGACTAATGCCTGAATTTCATGTCTCTGGTTTGGATTGTATCCGGGGACACGTGAAGGAGTGAGGACAGGATGTTTGTGCTTTTCCACGGCTGGGCTGTTAAATCAAATCAATAAAATGCAGAAATCAGAAATAGATCATATAAAACCTAAGTGGTGCCAGGAAATTGGACTCCTTTGGTGCGTCGTTATAAAGCCACTGAGTAAGGCAACAGAACTTCTTAAAGGAACTTTGTCTCTCTTTTTTAAAAGCTTTCTAATTATGAAAACAATTTCGACAAACAGATTTCTTCCTGGTGAAGTGTTTCAAAAGCTTTTTGTGGTTAACATGATGAGTTCAGCCTACTCAAGATGATACATGGCTTTATGGATTTGTTATGCCATGACTTACTGTCATAGCCAGTAGCTTCCTGTTGACACATGTAGGATTCCTTCATGAAACATGCCTCATGCCTAGAAATTGAGAATAAATTAAACTCCACCTTCCACAGCTTGTTCACTTTTAATTTGATGTCAAGTTTTTGGGGGTTAACAACCTGAATATAAAAGGTGGCTGTAGGATGAAACATCCTCTTTAACCTCAGCCAAAATGGTCCTTGCTAGACTATAAATTATAAGTTGACAATTTCGTGGGTCGTGATGGTTTTGCCCGCTGATCATATACAGTCTTTGGAATAATCATGATCATCGTAACAACAAATATGTTTGGCCAGCAAGTCAGAACATAAAAAGATGCAAATATGATCAGCTCCTGCTGGCGCTTTTTTTTCCATCTATACCTCATGGCTACAGTCAAATTGTCAAGCATTTTGCACAGTTGTCTGAGCCAGATTTATTGTCTCCACCCCCTCTTCCTTAGCACAAGGTGGAACACCCCTGTTGCTGACTGTTCCTTTGGTATTTATATTGTTTCTTTTCCACAGAAAACTGCTCTTACATGACTTTGCTGCAGCCGGAGCAAATTCAAGTTTTAACATGTTTCACGCAGACTTTCTTTATAGGTCCTTTATACCTGTCTGTTAGCATTTGGTCGTGTTTAGATATTATTTCATCTGTGAGACTCTTGAAAGCAGAGGTCACTCTTTACTGCAGCACCATGAGCATTATTAGACACACAGATGCTGCGTAAAATGATCACTCTTCCTCAAGTAAGTCCTCAGCCTGAGTCCAGGCCCCATAAGCTGTTTGTCCCACAATAGCTTCTGAGCCTTTAGGTCTATTTCCACCCATCTGCAGTGGGGGAGATCGCTCCTCACTGCTGCTATTTAAAGGTGCAGAATTGTTCCACATGTCCCCGTCCACCCACATGTCCCCAAACAAACAGGCCGACAGATAGCTGCTATGACTCAACCTTACTTGCATACATAGAAATGACACGACTCTACTTGACCTCCTGTTTTAGGGGAACCGAGGGTCACTCTACACCCTAACCCCCCCCCCCCCCCCCCCACCCCCAGCTGCCCGAGTGGCCTGACATCCCTTAGCATTTGGATCACAGACGCATTTTGGACCTGCATGAAACCGAACACCGCCGATTCAAGCGCTGATGACACAACTGAGGCCCGGGCTTTCGGTCAGACGCTGCCCCTGCCCCTCTGTGTCCAGCCACAGGGAGGGGTTTGTGTCTGTTTAGCCGGACCGGGGGCCGGTGGGCCTGGTGAGGGCTTTGTGTGTTTGGTTAGGCGGCTATAACAACACAACTTGATTAGCTTTTGTTATTACATGACTTGTTATGTCTGTGTGACCCGCCTCCACTGTCCTGCACATCAGCAGTCCGCTTCTCCAACTCGTGTTACAATTCAGGGAACCCTGTAGATACGTTTGTTGCCGTTTCTTCCATCCTTCACTGCTTCTTTCATTCATTTAGTTTTGTATCAGGCAGCAGAAGGTCAAGGTTTCCATGTTTACACGGTTTGCCAGGACATATAAACGAGCATGAAAAGTTCAACATTGAGGATTTCTTTTCCTGGAAGGTTTTACGACATTGGAGGAAAAACTAGAAATTGCATGTTCCATGAATATATGTACTTTCTTTGTTTATTATAGAAAAATAACGATTCTGTTTTTTATTCTGTCTTTCAGGATTCCGTGAATGCACTGGCTCATGATTTGAACTATCCTGTCCTGCGGAAAAACAAAAACATCGAGGCATTTCTGAGCAGATGTAAGAATTAATTAAACGCTTTTTTATACTTCCTTGATTTAAGAATTTTTTAACTGCTCGGTAGTAATTTCCCACCTTTGCTGTGTCAGTTGATTGATGATGGGTAAAATATTTTAAGTTAATAACAAGTCTTCAATGCAATCAGGCAGGTTAAGCAACCAGATTCTCTTTCTGCTTCACAAACCAGCTGTAGTGTGAGTGTGCTGCGTCATGTTCATGCTGAGATAAAATAGAATTTCTCTGAAAAAAAAACTACTTTTTTAAAATTAGAGTGGTTCTTTGCTTTCTTTGTAATGGTTAAGTTCAGCCTGCATTCATGCATGTATCGACATGTTATGACAGTTTAGAAGATCTGAATTGATTTTTACAAGGGAAGCGTGTGTTTTTTTTTTTCAAATGTGCTTATGGAATTTCAGGCTTTTTGCTGCTCCTGTCCAAACATTTTTGCAAACTGTTTACTAAAAGTAAATGGCTTACAAAGCGAGGGAATTTTATTAGTGACTAAAATGTCATACCACTGCATGAATACATGGCAGTGTTGGATTCTGATTACATGTCAAGACAGACAAATGTTTAGTGATTATCTGATATTCCCATAGTGACAGCTGATGGTGCAATACTTGTCGCCATTTTATTTGCTTTGGCCAGGTCAGCATGTTTTTTTTCTTCTATGAAGTCAAAGTGAACATCTGTTAACTTGTCATGAATTAATAATTCAATATATTTTTCATTCTTGTGCCGCTGACAATATTAACTCATTCTTCCCCATTAGCTCTCCCCAGCTCAACTTCTTGACATAAAAACAGTCATTTAAGGCTCCAGAAAGGCCAGCAGAGTGACAGTTTATTCTAGTCTGTGGTTTAAACCTCTTCTACAGGTTTCATATATGAGAAAGTGCTTTGTATGCACAAGCTGTTGGAGGAGAACGTCACAGAAATATGAGAGGGCTCAATTCTGAAGTGTGCGTTCTGATAGCCTTTCAGTTTTCAAATGAAGCAAATGAAGTTTGGCTTGAACTTGTTTGACAGACAGAATTTGTGACAGTGATGGCAGAGATGCACGCCTGTCTTTTACGTCTCACAGACTTCAAAACTTTTAGCTTGTTAATAATTGATTGAGATTTTTGATCAACTCAGACCTCCCCCTGAAGCTTTTGAGCCAAACTGGTAGCACCTTGACCTTTGTGTTGCTATGGTAATGTGTGTGTCTGTCTCGCAGATGAAAAGTTGGTGACTCAGCTGCGAGAGCTGCAGGTTAAGGCTGAGGACTTTGAAAAAGTGAAGCTGATCGGGAGAGGAGCCTATGGAGAAGTGCAGCTGGTGAGACGTCTTTATTTGTTTTGGGGAAAGAAAATGAAATAAGGCCGTGATCTTTCTTTGGATTCTCTCTTCATTTCCAACAGCCTGAATGCAGCAGTGGAACGCAGCTGAGTTTCTCCAGCTGTACCTTAATTGAGCAGTTTGTACCAAAAGCATGCATTCACAAGCCACTAGAGGGAGCAGCCATCTACAGAAATGTGTAACTTTTGCACCTTGTATTTCAGATACAGCTGAATCATTAACTATTCAACTGGTTCTAAGTCTGAAGATGGCAGTAACTCCTTTATTTCCCTAAGTCCCAGTTTTCTTAATGTGAGCCTCTTGTCCTGGTCAAATCCGGTATCTGCTGAGCTCCTTGTGGTATAAACAAGTCTGGACAAGCTCAATATGCGTGTGGGGGGGGGGATAAGCACGAAGTCTAATGTGGGGGTGTTGGGGGGAGTACTTGTGTTTGTTTGTCTCCAAATCTTGTGTGAACATGTCTTTTTTTGGGAGTGTACTGCAATTACAGCGTCCCATCTCAGGTCTGTGTGTGTGGTTGGTGTTGGTCACTGTGACATTTTTACACACTTCTTATTCTCGTGTATCACTGTTTACATTCCAGCATCTCTGCTTATGCTTGTACCCCTCCCAATGCAGGTCCGCCACAAGGCCTCTCAGAAGGTTTACGCCATGAAGCAGCTCAACAAGTTTGAGATGATCAAGCGATCCGATTCCGCCTTCTTCTGGGAGGAGAGGCACATCATGGCCTTTTCCAACAGCCCCTGGATCGTCCAGGTGGGTTACCGGATGCGTTTTATCCTGAAAACTTTTGCAAGATGCAAACTGGAGAGGAACTACTGAACAAGTTTAAGTTGTTGAATATAACATTTTCTTGTCAAATATGACCAAATTCCATACAAAGATATTTAAAGATAAATAACCTACAAAATACTTGCAAGATTTGTGTGGACAGATGTAGCTTTTACAGGTATGGTGTTGTATTTATTAACCAAACTACACACCACACAGTGGAGTGATTATGCTAGATTACAGAATTTAAACATGTGTACCATCATGTGTATATCATTTTAAACAAGCTGATGTCATAGTTAGCAACATCGATGTTACACTCCAAGTTTGCAACTATGATTGAAGACTAAGTATTTTTCTCTATTGTTGAATGATGCACAATGGTCCTTTTCAGAGACGGCACACAATGTGCTTTCACATCTTTATCAGTCTATCATCTTTATACTCTTGAGTGTGGTCTGGAGTGATATTAAGTGACTGAGATTGCTTTTTTCCAGCTTTGCTGTGCTTTCCAAGATGATCGCCGTCTGTATTTGGTGATGGAATTCATGCCAGGAGGAGACCTGGTCACTCTCACCATGAACTATGACATCCCTGAGAAATGGGCCCGTTTTTACACAGCTGAGGTTGTGTTGGCCCTGGACGCCATCCACTCCATGGGCTTCATCCACCGCGATGTGAAACCTGACAACATGCTGCTGGACCAACACGGACACCTGAAACTGGCTGACTTTGGCACGTGCATGAAGATGGACACGGTAGGTCGAGTTTACAGTTGTTCCAATGTTGTTTTAAATTCAGCCATATTTATTTACTTGCTTTAGTATGAAGAGAATCAGCTGAAATGGCCTTTAATTACATTTTCTATTTGGAACATTGGTCTTTTTTAGGGCCCGGTTTACCCCACCAGGTGTTTAGATAGTTAAAGTGGAGCTCAGTGGTACACTCTTACATCAGGATGTTTGGAATAGTTTCAGAGGTTGCTGTGCTAAACAACCAATCTAGAGTGCCGCAGCGGTTCCGCCTCAGCAGTGGGCCAGGAAGTGTTTTTCAGCCTTTTGTTTTCACCACAGCCATCTCAGAATAGCTGGCTCCACACATTCAAGCCTTCTGGAAATTGACTGTTAGACACATGGTGTCATGCATTTTTTCAGTTCTGTAAATACATACACAAAGTTTAGAAGGTTCTTCTGACGCTTTTTCTGTACCCAAACATCAAATGCTTTTCTTCTCCTTATCACAAAAGTGAAGTTATTTATTTTTTCTTTAACCAAATTTGGTGAGGTCTTGTTTCTGATGCATTATGGTTTTGTGCCACCTTTGATTTCTTTATATTTAGCTTTTGAGCCAGATTTGGAAAAAACAGAGATTTTCCAGAGATCAAACCACAAAGTTTTTAACTGATAGAAGATCATTTCTGAGCTATAGCTGCACCACCCGCATGTCCTTTACAAAAAAAGAAATAGGATGAAAGGTCAAGAAACCTTTGGGTTCAGGCTGTGTTTAAGGATGAAAGTTATACTGTATATTGACTTTCATGCTCATTAGAATGCATTTTTCTTTGTGGTCAGTAAATAATTGAACATGCTTTTCCTGACAGCATGAAAAAGTGAGGACTGGAGTACAGACTTCCGTACGATGGTGTATATTTTGTCTTTCAGGAGACTGGTATGGTGCACTGTGACACAGCTGTAGGGACACCAGACTACATCTCCCCTGAGGTGCTCCAGTCTCAGGGTGGTGACGGCTACTACGGCCGAGAGTGCGACTGGTGGTCTGTTGGAGTTTTTATCTATGAGATGCTAGTTGGTAAGTTACCTACTGCTAGCACTTTTTTTCTTTCCTGATTCTGTTCAGTGTAGTATTATGACCATTCACTGTCATGGACTAGTAATCAGTCCAGGGGCACTTGAATTAGATAAAGCTGGTATAGAAGATGGATGAAAAGATTATTTAGCTCATACTGTAAGATGAACAAAGCCCAGGATGTTAGTCGACCTGGACTCTTTGTAGTCAGAAGTCCAGTAAAACGGTTTTCTGTCTGTTTTGGTCATTTGTGAGTGTCAACATCTTACTTCTCTCACAGGTGAAACCCCTTTCTATGCCGAGTCCCTCATCGGAACATATGGGAAGATTATGAACCACCAGAACTCGCTTGTCTTCCCGGAGGCTGTTGCAATGTCTCAGGATGCCAAAAATCTCATCTGTGCCTTTCTTACTGACAGGTTTGAACCAAGATTTTACTTAGATTTCCTTTTTTTTGATGAAGTGCATTTTATTTTTGGACACAGGATCCACTTGATCTTTTCATTTAACCATGTGTCATAACCACATGAGTTAACACAACCGGCTCATACAGTAATGCAGAGATTCACTTTTCTACCAGAATTCACCAAAATTGTGAGGATCAGTTTGTCCTTAACTTGGGATTAAGATACAATTTAATGACAATACAATCGCTGTGAAATATTTTTTTTCTCTTTTGTTTTTGTTTTTTAATATTATTTATTTATTTTAGATTAATTTTCTCAAAACAATACCTGCGATTTGGAACCAAAGCGTAGCTAACATTTCTCATTTAATTTAAGCACTAACAGTGTGCTTTGCATATTTTTAATAATGTCAGCATTAAAGGTAAAAGTTGCAGGAATGGATTTGTGGGCTACAATCCCAGTTCATTGCCCACTCCTTTTGGAGAACCACCACTTCCTGTTTACATTAGTGATCCCGCCCCCAGAGAGGCCTCTAACACAGGACCTTTCTGCTTCCATACAGAGCAGCCTTTCATTTTTCCCTCACCCAGTTTATTTACCTTTTCACACACTATTCTCTCGCCACAGACAGAATGTCACATGTGTGTATGGCTGGCCACCCTCACACACACAATGACCTATGACTGCATTCACTTAACCTACATGCTCTGTCATCACTGTCTTCCCATCTTGCTGAATCACTCCAGTAACCATAACTCCTTCTCTCTTGGTCTTTTAAAATCTGTGTTTGTACCTTTCCTCTTTGATGCAAATCTCCTTTTCACTCATTGTACTCTAACGCCTCATCTTTAACTTCCCTCACTGCAATACATTTTTCTGAGCACAGAGACATAACCTCAATTTTTTATGAGGGGCTTTAAAAACTTTTTCTCTTTCTTCCTCTCCGCCCTTGCCCTCTCTTCCTCTTGGCTGCATCTGGAATGTCCCACACGTGGCAGGCCCAAACTGCCGCACCCCTCTCCAGTCTTGTGGAGGTGGAGGAGGGAGAAAGGGGGGAACGGGGCGAGGGAGCAAGAAGGAGTATGAGAGGAGAAGGAGGGAAGATCTAGAAGTTCTGTTGAGTCAGAGTTGTTTCCTTTGCTCTGGAATTATATCATTGCTGGTCTGACTGAATAAAGGAGGCTCTCTAAGCCCGTGGTCATGCGGCTCTCCATGCTGGTCAGTATGGTCAGTACAGAGCAGTCATTCCACCGGGCTCTGTGTGTTTGGGATGACATGTTAGTGATGGTGGGTGGAGGGTTGAGGTGTGTTTTGCTTTCACGCCGAGGCGACTCTGCTCTCAGTTGGACTGCTCTCTCTCTCTCTCTCTCGTCACTGTGTGCAGGAAGGTTCGTCTGGGCCGGAGTGGAATTGATGAAATAAAGCGTCACCCTTTCTTCAAGAACGACCAGTGGACCTTTGACAACATCCGTGAGAGTAAGTGCGCCCGCATGCATGTTTTTGAGCCACAGGTTTCATTTAATCCCCAAAACACAGGTGTAGCTTTCCTATTTTCCACCTCCAGTAGTGTGCCATTTGTTCTTGTTGCCGCATCCGTCGTGTCATCTCCAGCCTACTCTGCAGATCTGTTTTGCTTTAGTCTGAGATTGAATTTGAGCTCCATCTCCCAAGCAAGTAAGCCTTCCTATAAGGCACACATGTTCTCCATATGCTCCTTTCCCGAATTTGATGTTATTTGAAGGGATTCTGTTCAGAGTAGGAGACCAAATTATCCATGCCCCCCCTGGAAACAACTTTCATGTGGATACATCTCCAAATTCTCGCATTACAGAGAATGGGGAAGCTCTTAAAGGTATCTCGTCATTTTCAAAGATTGTACACTTCTTAGAACAAGTAAGTGTTGTGAGTGACTAAGAAAACTATCTCTGAAGTCTTGTTTAATTACTTCCTAGGTGAGATTTCAGCTGTGAAAATGTAAAACGATAAAAGAAAACATTTTAAACTGTTTAAAATTTAAAACATTTAAATTTTAAAACAGCTAAGTCCAAACAGATATTTATTTTCTATGTATTAGATGGCATAGTCAAACAAACTTACAACTGATATGTTACTTTTGTGTAATTTTCAAAGAAATAAGTGATGTGTTTTATGTTGCCTTGTTCTAAGACATACAGCTACTTGGAAACTGTAATGATAAAAACTATTTAAGAGTTCAGGTTGTAAACACTTATAGTCTAAACATGATTGAATTTGTAAATTTGTAAAATTTATTTTGATTTTTTTTGTACATTCAATCATTTAAAGTGTGAAAAAACATGAACAGACAGACAAAACACCCTATGCCAAAGTTGTTTCAACTTGTATCGGTTACTACATAATCAGTCATTTACATAGGAAGGAAAAGAGGGAAGAAAGTGAGACACGCGTTTTTATTAGGGGTATGAACAGGACCTTTGTGTCTGTATGTGATCACACTCGGGCTCCTTCTTTGCCTCTCCTCCTCTCTGCCTCACCTGGCACTGATTACGGCGACAGAGTGCGCTTCTGATCAGAGCCTGGCAGTCTGCAGCACAGACCCACTGCTGTGCCGCTGTTTGCACACGCGTGTTCCGTCTCACGCGCACCAACACAGACCCTTCTGCACGCTCCCCGGGCCGGACCCTGCCTCCTTTCCAGCATCCTACAGAGCTGCATGTCTGTGCCCACTGTTTCTATTTAAGACACACGCGTCTCCCTGCTGTGTGCCGCCGCTATCAGGCATCAGGTTGGCTGAGGGCAAAGACGGCGGCTTTATGGCTGGATATGCGGGAGAATGGCGACAGGAGGGAGCATCCCCCGTAGCGGCGGGCGGGGCAGGCCGTGCGGCATGGCCTAATGAGAGGGGCGCCCCAGTTTTGGAGGGTTTCTCCCGCTCTTTCGCTCTCACTGTGGCCACCGCTGCCTGTCATTAGTATCCCGCTATCAGAGAGCATTCTGGGAAGCCATGCTACAAGGGCCACCATGTCTCTTTCTGTCTCACCACACATCGGCCTTTTTTTCTGCCTCTTTTTTTTCCGCTCCCCGTAATTTGTCTAATTCCGGTACTTGATGTGTCCCTGTATTTTCTCCACCATTACCTGGTTACATTTGTCACATTTGTCACACGGGGGTTTGTGTCTTGACCCTACAGTAATGAGCTCTTTGCTCTGAGCCAGAATTGCACTGGTCTAAGGAATTTGATCCACAATGGTTCCTTCTTTTTTTTCTTAATTACAATCTATTCATAGACTAAGGGACTAGCTTAGTTGTATCTGATTGGCCCCCTGACATATTTTGTCTGCATGTTGGGCAGGCTTTTAAAGTGTGCCTGTTCCTGTGAGAAGAGGGCGAAAGGAGCACTCGCTGCTGCTTAGGCTTCGTTTGTGAAAGGCAACTGTGTGTGGGGCACAAAGCAAGCACTGTACAGGAAAAGGAGTGGTGTCGAGCTCACGCCAACCTGTAGAAAACGTACTCCTACTCCACCAAAGTCTGTTTGGTTCAATGTTCATTGCCGAAAGCTGTTAAAGAAGTGCTTTTTCATTTAAATAAATGTAAAGCACGGGTTTATCCTGTGAGAAATTAATTTAATGTTGACCACCCTCCCACTCTGTGACTCTTCTCTATTTCTGTCTTCCAGCTGTGGCCCCAGTTGTGCCAGAGCTGCACGGTGACATAGACACCAGTAACTTTGATGACATAGAAGAGAACAAAGGAGATGTTGAGACTTTTCCTCCACCCAGAGCTTATGTGGGCAATCAGCTACCATTTATCGGTTTCACTTATTTCAAGGAAGATCAGTAAGTCTTTTCCAATGTATTATTCACTGTTTCGGTTGGAAATATAGCTTGTTTTTAAGTTTGCTTTTTTGTTTTAATTATAACAAAAAATGAATTTGGAAATACATACCCTATTTGTTTCCTGTATGGAAGCATCTGCCCTCAGGGTCACTATGCCTAAAAGTAGAGGAGAAAACAGAGCTTCACCGCCATACCTTTAAGGCAGCATTAGTCAGACACTGTATCCCCTGCTTTAAATCAACACCGTTGCCTTCCAACTGTCGCTAAAATAAGCTTTTGTTTGATCCTTGTGAATCGCTTGCATAAAAGAAAATATATATGTATGTGTGTATATATGTGTATAAATGTGTGTGTGTGTGTGATAAATGACTGGCATGTTCATCTCAAGCACCTGGATTTGCATTTGCTAAACAAAACATTCTGTAAGAGCTGTTGCTCCAGAAACCGGCCAATTATAGAGGCGTCAGAGGCTTCGGTCATCATGATGCAATGTGGAAGAGTCCTATAATGATTCCCAGAAATCCAAAGGTATATTACAGTAGTAGTGCAGTAAACAGCCCATCAGAAAACATGACCACTAAACCATAAAAACCTAATTTAAATGCACAACACCACGTTTCTTACTTGTTTGTTTGTTGGGTCAGTTTTACATTATGGGTCTGATAGTGGCAATTAAGGTCACGGTTGTAGAAGTTTGAGACTTTGTCCTGCACAGTATAGTCAGTAAACATGCCCCTTCTCTCACAGGCTGCTGAGAGCAGCCAGCAGCAGCTCTGCTGAGGATTCAGAGGACTGTAAGAAAAACTCTGAGGACAAGGAAAACGGCATAGACAGTAAGAAAGACGAGGTTTGTGACATTTTTCCTTACAGTTATCTGAGAGACGTCACACAACATTAAGTCTTGTAACTGATAAGATTGGTGGATATTTATTTTCTTGCCATTTGCCTGTGTGTGGTTGCAGTTGCAGAAAAAGCTTCATCAGTTGGAGGAGCAACTCGACCATGAGATGCAGGCCAAAGATGAGCTGGATCAAAAGTGCAAGTATGAGTGGTGCACACTTGCACACAGAGCATCATTATGATACACAAGGTGGAAATTTGCCATTAGAATCGAATGCATGTTTACCAGTCCAGTATATTTGCATTTAAATGGTGCATTAATACTATCATACACCTGCAATTGATCTTTATCTAAAATCTTTAGTATGAATGTTAAAAAGTCAAGCAGACCATCATTTGAAATATTCTTTCAATCGTTTCTGCAACTGAATTTCTTTTTCAGTTCCATATTTAGAGGACACAAACAGTGACATCCGAAGCTCAAGCCTAATAATTTCATGACTCTTTATTAAAGCTTTTTTTTTCTTCTTAGAAATGCCACCAACCGTTTAGACAAGCTGGTTAAAGAATTAGATAAGGAGGTAAGAGTGGATGGGAGAATGGGCAGGGTGCACTTCCAATATGTCTGACATGAATGACGTAGCTCAGCTTGTCTCTGCTCACATTGGTTGGGAATCTTTTGCTCCTCAGATGAACAGCAGGCAGAGAGTTGAGGCCTCGCTCAGGCAGCTGGAGCGAGAGCGCGTGCTGTTGCAGCACCAGAGCGCCGACAGCCTCCGCAAGGTGGAGATCGAAGCCGACAGGAAACGGAGCTTGGAGAATGAATGTGAGCACCGAAAAACTAATCCTGTCACATTTCTAGTTCAAAGAGTCCAAATAAGCTGTTTATTTGACGAGTGTTTTTTCCTTTTTCAGATAAAATTGTTTGAATATCGACATTTAATTCCTTGATGAATTGTTGTGCTAACTGAGACAATAAAATGTGTTAAATCAAGCATGACATTAACTCTCCTCATGCCTGTGTATTTACTCATCAGTGAACAACCTGAGGGACCAGTTAGAAGATTTGAAGAAGAGGAACCAGCACTCGCAGATCTCCAATGAAAAGAACATTCAGCTGCAAAAACAAGTGAGGAGGGACCTTTTTAAAACTTATCCAATACCTGGGGTTAGACTCTCTGCCCAACATTACAAAACATAATGTTTTTTTATGAATCAGATTAATTTTTTACACTTTTCACAATGAATCAATGTATCAGGTATCAGATGCATTTATTTTTACCTCATTATGATCATTTTTTCAACCTTCTCTATCTTTTAGCTGGAAGAGGTCAACGCTATACTTCAGACTGAGCAGGAGACAGCAGCGCGGCTGAAGAAAAGTCAGGCAGAGGCACAGAAACAAGCCCAGAGTCTCGAAGTCAGCCTCAAGGAGATGCAGGAAAAATGCAGCCAACTGGAAAACAGCAAGATGGAGTTGAAGAAACATCTGAAGGAGCTGCAGGCCGAACTGGAGGAAGAGAGAAGAGACCGCAACCTCGGGACAGAAACTATTACTGATTTGCAAGGTGAGTAATCATTTATGTTTCGATTAATCTCCTCTTTGAATATGTATTTATATATATATAAATATATATATAGTATTGTTAAATTCTTGCAAACATTACATTTGTTTCTTGAAAATGTTGCACATTTTATTTCACCAATTCAAAGAGTTTATTTCCAGTAATGAGATTTACCGCAGTGATTTCTGAAGGAAACATGTCCTCATATGTGAGAGAAAGGCACTCCATAACTTGGAGTTGGGGAACAAACGGGGTATTAGATGTGATTCGTTTTTCTGGAGCCGGCCTTGGGAAATGTCCGATCATAGGTGGAAACATGTGCTCAAAGGGCTGAGAGTGAAGCAGGAGGCTGTAAAAGCCAAAGCAAGTCCAAAGCCAGAACCTCTTGTGAGAGCTTGATGGAAACTTGTGTTCTGTCCGTGCAGAGAGGCCAAACACTGAGTCCAAATTGGCTCCACGAAACAACAGTGCTGCCTGTTTGCTCTGATTCATAAGATTGAGTCTAAATACACTTAAAATGTTTTTTTTTCTGTATATTTGCGGCAAAACATGGACTGTGGCATTATGTAGTGTCTTAAAAAGTTCAGGTGCACTCATTTAATTCCCTTCATTTGTGGATGGCATTCAGTGTAATTCCAGCACCTTAATTAATGTAGTAAGCCATCCTAAAATCTCTGTGTTAATTCATTTTTAACATGAATCCAATTCTTTCCCCTCAGGTCGAATCTCTGGCCTAGAAGAGGAGGTGAAAGATGTAAAATCATCTCTTTCCAAGGTCCAAACTGAAAGGAAAGAGCTGCAACTGAAACTCACTGATCTGGAAAAGGTTCAGTTTGGTATATCTTCCTGAGAATGCGTTCTTTCCATGATAATTATACACAAAAAAACTAACAGAACTTATTTTTTTGCAGGAAAAGAGCAATCAAGAGATTAACATGACGTTCAAACTCAAGTCGCTCCAGCAGAGTTTGGAGCAAGAGGAGGCAGAACATAAAGCCACCAAAGCCAAACTTGCTGATAAAAACACAATCTACCAGTCCATTGAGGAGGCAAAGTCTGAGGCCTTAAAAGGTGAAAAAATGAGGAGGGAATAAGCACAAGTTGACTGTAGAAATCTATGCAGCATAACAGAGCCCAGATACCCGTGTGGAAACGTCAGTGACTTGACAATTGCTGCAAGCTTTTGATTGTAAACGGTTCTAGAATAATTGAAAAGTCCACCTCACACAGATGATGGTCTGTTTATGTTCATTTTAAGGATTGGGAGGGAAGATTGTCTCTCACTGGTACTAAAGTAGATTTCCTTTGGTTCAGAGGTGGAATGCACGCTGCAGGAGGAGCGCAGCTTGAAGCTGCAGGTGGACGGAAAGCTGCTGCAGCTTGAGAAGGATTACTCCATGCTGGACTGTGACTACAAGCAGGCGCTGCACAGAGTGGAAGAGCTGCAGGCACAGAAGGACAATCTATCTGAAGAGGTGCATTTTACTCAATAAGACAGATGGCATAAACGCAGTGTGTTTTAATAGAATTTTATGGAGCCGAAATAAAATCAACAAATGTAATTAGTTTAGATTTGACAAGCAAGCAATTATTAAAAAAGTAGATTAAAGATGGCTTCCACTCTAAATGCTCTGCAGTTTCAGGATGGTCCACATAAGTATTTAACACTCATTCTTGAATGCGTCTGCAGGTAATGCAGGTCACTTTGCGTCTGGAGCAGGAGATGTACAAGCGGAAACTGAGCCAAAGCGAGCTGAAAAAGCAGAGCCAGCAGTTGTCTGTGCTCCGCTCCTCAGAGAAACGGCTCCAGCAGGAGATTAACCAACTGCAGGACATGAAGCAGATCCAGGAGAAACAGAACCAGGAGCTGAGCAGGTCAGACTCGCCAAACACAGCGCGATGTTCATCCGCACCGCCCTGGCTCGGGTCTTCATTTGGCCTTCGGCAGTGATTGACAGGTTTCTGGTGCCGTTTCAGGGAAAAGCAGGAGGCTGACTGCCATTTAAAGGAGCTGAAGGACCAGCTGGAAGCAGAGCAGTATTTCACAGTAACTCTTTCTTTCTTTCTTTTTGGGCATCTGTCAAATGGCAGTAGCAGCCAAACATTTGATTGTCAGTGCAGCTAACAAAAAAACATAACGTATGTGGTCCTGTGAAGTTTCCTTTCACTTTAAATTCAGCTCTTTGTGTTAATCTGACTCCTAATGTGTAAGATGAAAATGGTAAAATCTTGTTGTTTTCATCAGACCCTTTACAAGACTCAGATCCGTGAGCTCAAAGATGAGTGTGACGAGAAGAATAAACTGTACAAAGACGCAAAGCAGCGGCTGGCTGAATATCAGGAGGAGAGGTAACTGCTGCTAAGCTTTTGCAGCATACACATAATAGCCCTGTTGAAATATGTACAGACGATCTATGATTTCAACTCAGGACATGAGAGTGTGCAGCACAGGAAATTGTTACCTGTAAATTTGAAAATGAACCAGACTATTCAGTGTTCAAGCTTCGAAAGCAGTTTCCTTCATTCACAACAGGGAATAAAGTTAAACCAATTCAGCCACTGTTCCAGATGCACTAAACCCAAAGGCTGATTCAATCTAACTCCCACTTGGAAAATCCATCAGTTACAACAATGTAATTGACTTATTAATGTATGGTCACAGTATAAACGAAAGCTTTCCAACTGGGATAATAATGACATGGATTATGCGCTTTTCAAAGCCTTATCCAGCTCCAGCAGTTTGGTATGATAATGACGGTTAATGCTTTTTGCAGGGATTCTCTGGCAACCCAGCTGGAAACCAGCTTGACCAAAGCAGATTCTGAGCAGCTGGCTCGCTCCATCGCTGAGGAGCAGTACTCCCTTCTGGAGAAGGAAAAGATTATGAAAGAACTGGAGATCAAAGACATGATGGCGAGACATAAACAGGAGCTCGGCGACAAGGAGGCCACCATCAGCTCGGTGGGTTTAGTCACCGGATTCAGTAAATGTTGTTTAGTCAGTTGTTCTCACAAAATAGTGATCTTTTGGGGATTAACAGTCACAAATTGGACACCAGTCTGATAAAGATAATCTAATTTCACCTATAAAATAGCCTTTAACGGACATATTGGACAAATCATAGACATCTGTTGCTTCTCCAGGGGTATAAAAAAAAAGCTGCCGGATTGTAATGGCGTAGCATTTATTTTACAATCTTCAGCACACAGCACTGATAAAGAATGCACATCCATTCCCCGCCTGGACCGGCTACAGCTATAACTGCAAAACAAGGGTGTACACAATAGCTTTTGTCCTGAACTCTCTCAGCTGTAACAGTTCTGTCTTTCCATGCTTCCTGCTAAAATATGACTGAACGTTTGAACTCGCCTCACGCAGCTGGAGGAGTCCAACCGCACCCTGACAGTGGATGTAGCCAACCTGGCCAGCGAGAAAGAAGAGCTGAACAACCAGCTGAAAGACATGCAGCAGCGTGAGTCTCCTTCTGACTTCATGAGTACCAGAGAGAGCAGATTTCCACAGAACTTGCATTTCACCTGATCTTTGGAAAATGTCTCCATCTGAATATGCTGTTGGTGAACCCTGTGTTTCCTCATACACGAATAATGTTAGATTTATTTCTCCATTCGTCTTTTATACATTTTCACAGAACTCCAGAAGGCCAAAGAGGAGGAGAAGCACATGAACAGTTTGAAAGATTCTTTTGAGAAGCAACTGCAGAATGAAAGGACACTAAAAATTCAGGTATGTGCGCCTACACAGGTCCTGAAAGCCTGGAAAATCTTCTATGCAGTCCAACTTTTGTATCTCTTATGCCAACATTATTGTAGTCAAAAATCATTTTCTGCTACAGGCTGAAGTTGAACTTCGGGCGAAAACTGACATTTAAAACAGGAGTAGTGTGTTGTTCTTGCAGCTGCATTGATATTCCTGTAGGCTTCCCCATCTGTTTACCGAGGTTATATTTACCATAAAGAGAGCTTTGTAAAGTTTCACCGTGCTGTTTTTGCTCCAAGGCTGTGAACAAGCTGGCGGAGGTGATGAACAAGAGGGAGACTCTGCGGGGAGTCCATCGAAGCAACGACACAGAGGTGCACAGAAAGGAGAAGGAGAACAGGAACCTGCAGCGGGAGCTGCAAGCCGAGAAGGCGAAACTAAACAGCACCATTATCAAATACCAGAAGGACCTGATGGACATGCAGGCGGTCAGTGTGCCCACGCTTCCAAAAATATGCACAGAACCTAGACTTGTTCCCAGAAACCCTCTTTTGTATAAGATACTGCTGGAAGCTGTGTTTTTTCGCTTAAATTCTTGGTGGTTGTAGATGCAGATACTGACATAAAGGCCTAAAGACACTGTAATTAACAAGAGACCTTAAGTTGTACTTCATTGAGCCTGAGCTTGCATTCAGACACTTTTCAAATATTACAAAAGCACCAAACTGGTATAATTTAAACAGTGTACAGTTTGTCATTATGAGCCTGCTCAAAAAAGTGTAGCACAACAAACTAAAGGTTTTTGTGCACGTTTGTGCAGGTTATAGCTGAAGAGAACAACATGCGTCTGGAGCTGCAGATGGCATTGGACAGTAAAGACAGCGACATCGAGCAGCTCCGGTGCCAGATCTCCTCGCTCAGCATCCACTCTCTGGACTCCACCAGCATCGGCAGCGGCAACGACTTGGACGTGGGCGACGGGTTCCCGGGTAGGCCGCTTCACATCGCTGTTCAGGCTTGCACCTGCATGCGTTCCCCTGTATTCCTGTTTCTCTTTCTTTTTCCATTTGTTTTCACTTTTTTTCTCATGACTACCTCTCTTTTCCCCTCTGTTCGTTTCACTTCACCCTCTCTCCTTGTGGCCCGGTGTAGTGCGCATTACCCACTCTAGCACCTCAGAATCAATGTCCTTCACCTACCAGCGCACGCAGAAATCTGTCTGCATTGACACGCGGCCCAACCTCCGCTCGGCCCGTTGTCTCTTTGAGTCTGACTCTGACTCGGAGGACGAAGATGAGCTCGATGGGCCAGAGGAGCAAAGCCAGAGACCCCTGGCCCTCACCTATGAACGGTCCCCTGAGCCTGAACCTGGAGGTGACCCTGCATGGCGTCTAAAATCTGAGTCAGAGCTGAAAAATGCACTTTCTTTGGTTTTATTTTGTCTTAAATTCACTTAGTTTGGATAGAAATAACCCCAACTCTGGCTCAGCTCTGCAGCCATTGAGCTAATCCCTTCACTCTCTTTACTCTGTCTCTGCTGTGCTTTAATCCTTCTCAGTGTACACCAAACACATTCATTCTCGCAGCATGACACTGCTCGGCCGTGTTGAAATGTATTCCACCACAAATGACACGGAGACAATGAAGTCTCTTCATGTCATTGGTTGTTCCCCAACTGGACAATTTGTGTTGATACCTGCCATATTTGGCACAGGAGATTCTTTGTAATTCTCACAGTTTCCTATGAAGGATTGTGGCGTTTTGTTGAAGCATGGAGCAGGATTTCCTTTCTCCTGCCCTTTGTTTCAGCCTGGAGTCGTTTCCCCTCTGTGTGATGAGTTTCTGCTTAAGGAAAATACCACAAGAGCTTAAAAGTGTCAGGGTGTTCTTTTAAGTGACTCACATGATTAAAGGATGTCATCTGTTTTATGCCAACACGTTCCTGTTTACTCTCTGCTCGCCAGACTCCAGACTGGAGGGATGGATCTCACTTCCTACCAAGAACACCAAGCGGTTTGGCTGGGACAAAAAAGTAATTAGTCCACCCCTATTTCTCAAATCTACAAATGCGTTTTCTTGATAATCCCTGACTCATGTCCCGTCTTCTAACTGTTCTTGCCCATGTTTGCTTTTCTTTCACAGTATGTAGTGGTGAGCAGTAAGAAAATTCTCTTCTACCACAGTGATCTCGACAGAGAGCAAGCCAATCCTTTTATGACTCTGGAAATAGAGTGAGTCATTAAAAATGGTATTAAAACAAAAATGACTAAATATTAGGTGTAGCAGAGGCTGACGGTGATGCCAAAAGATGTTGCATTATGAGTAAAAATAGTGGACGAATTAAAATGTTGGAAAATTCTGGCAGCTAAGTGAAAGACTAATGTACTAAAATTGATCCTTAATCCTAAGAAAATAATTGATGGATCAAATGACATGATAGTCCATTCTCTTTTTATTTTACAAAGTACCTTAGAAAAAAAAATTATGTGGTGGTGCTTAGAGAAAAGAAATTAAAGGAACAATTAGTTCTGGTGAACTCCTCTCCTAACTGTGTAATTTATCTGTCTCTAACTCAGCAAGCTGTTTCATGTCCGACCTGTCACTCAAACCGATGTGTACCACGCAGATCCTAAAGAAATTCCAAGGATATTCCAGGTAATCAGCTAACCCTTTGTTGTTTCTGTCCCTTTCTGTCCACTGCCCCACTGCTACATACTGTCAGCTGAATAATCTCATCAAACCCATGACCACCCATTCCCTGTCTTTTCCCTCTTCCATTAGATCTTGTATGCCAACGAAGGCGAGAGCAAACGCGACCAGGAAGTCATAGTGGACCCCACACCTAACAGCGAACGCGCATCCTACATCAGCCACAAGGGCCACGAGTTCATCCTCACCCTCTACCACTTCCCCTCCAGCTGTGATGCCTGCACGCGGCCCCTGTGGAACGTCTTCAGGCCCCCGCCGGCCCTCGAGTGCCGCCGCTGCCACGCCAAGTGCCACAAAGACCACCTGGACAGAAAGGAAGAGGTCATAGTGCCATGCAAGGGTTAGTCCGCTCAGTCAAGAATTTGGTTTGAGTGTGCAAGTTATACAGCATGGGAGAAAATAAAACCATTTTCTCACAATAGTTTTGATATGTTACAATTTTCTAACTAATAGTCAACTTTTATTACACTGATAAACCTGCTTTTTCCCCACCATGACATTTAAAGTAACAAGTTAACAGTAGAGGGCTCCTCTGTGGAATTAATTGCAGATGGATTTGTAAGATTTCTTGCATTTGGTAAAGAAATTAAACTCTTAAAGCTACAGAAGCCTGCAAGGGTTTCTGGTAAAAAACAAAAAACAAAAAAAAACTCTCACTGTCATCCTGATTTTAATCTTTGTTATTTCCAATCTTCACCAGTGAGCTATGACATGTCCACGGCCAAAGAGCTGCTGCTACTGACCACATCTCAGAGGGAGCAGCAGCGCTGGGTCTCTCACCTTCTCAAGCGGATCCCGAGGAAGCACCCCACACTGAGTCCTCCCTCTGCGGCAAAGACCAGCTCTCAGGAATCAACGTCTCGCTTGTCTCCGCGAGTGTCGCCACGGTCTTCACCCAGGAACTCTCCTCATTTGTCATCCCATCGCGGCGCCATCAAGATCCACCCCAGCAGACATCAACAGTCATCTGGGAAGTCGAGGTGAGAAAGCCTGAATAAAAATGTCCTTGGCCATCTCATTCCCTATCACTTCTGACTTAAGTTGATATTTTAAAAACATAGAAATCCCATTATACAGGTATCGTAGTTTAGGATGACTTTCTGCCTGCACAGACATGTGGCCGACAAGTAACGAAGGCAACAAAATGCAGCAGATAAAGTGTCTTTGATTATTGTGCTCATTCATTTTCCCAAAAGGCGGCTTATGCTGTTCATGTAAAAGATTTAAACTCGATTAATATAACATTATGTTACATTACGTAGCCTTGGTGCATTTGTACATTTATTTATTCTGTTTAACGACCAACATCAAACGTAAGCCTCACAGATGGACCAAACCACTCTTAGAATTAGGGGAGGGGAGTTCTTGATTTCTGTTTTGCATCTATGATTGTCTCAAATGCCTCTATTTTATCATTAGTTTGATCATAAAAAAAACCAATTATATTATTTAAAGTTTAATGTGAATATTGAAAGCTTACCTAATCTCAGGTAGAGCGGCTAACCCCCCCCCCCCCCCCTCCCAGATTTCCGCCCATGCCCAGCAACATCATCTGCTCTGCTTACGCTGTATGCAGCATTAGTGCACCAACTTAGCATCTCAATAATTAGCTAATCGGTACTAACTGTATCTTATTTTCTGTGACTATTCAGACACTAAGTAGTCTGAGCCACACCCTAACTGGCTTTCATTCTCCAGCCCTGGCCCCATGCTCCGTATCATCCTCCACTGACCCCTGACCTCCCCACCTCTGACCCCCACCATTCTAGCGTCTCTCATGTTGGGAGACTGTAAGTAGCAGAGCTTGTTGAGAATGCCTGCCCGCTGCATTGCTGTGCTGCTGTGCCTCTTAAGGCTCTCCACGTAACCAGCAGCCCACACTCACCCCCTCTTAGCTCCACACTGCCCCCTGGTGAGCGTGGTACATATCCCCCCCCCTGCAGACATTTGAGTCTCTCCCTGAACCTCGTTTTTTCAGGGTGCTTGAGTTTGACCTGAAAGACTGGAGTTGGTCGCTTGAAGATGTCGATAATGATGATGATATGTTCCTCTGAAGGAAGTGAAGGAGGGACAGAGGGTAACTTGACCTCCGCATGAGATGTGTCTACGATTTGTAGAAGGCGCTGTCATACAATCAAGAGCATGTTTGTCTTTCTCCGGAATTCCACATTCGGAGTCGGGTTGAAATCGTAAACTCTGGAATTCGTAGTTGTTGCAAGTTACAAGACAATCTTGGAACGTTAATGCAATGAAAAGCAGACTATTAGAGAAAAGTAGACTGCAATCTTGAGTTGCCTATTTTAAATCATATAGATTTGTAAGTTAGCAATGCAATATTTTGATTCCAGGCCTCGTTCAAAGTAGTTTTTTTATCTAACTTACATAACAGCTAAAGGACATTGTCACTCAAATATCAAACTATTGCTTGAATAATGGACCTTTTTGGCAGACACGTAGACGTGATTATTCCTCTATCTGTCTGCTTTTTATGCATTTTACTCATCCTTTCTGTGGATGCTGTGTGGCTTTCTTGTTTAATATGTGTGGATTTTGTGTGGGTGTGCCTTTGAATTCCTGCCACTCTGCTGGTCGTGTCCGAGGTTCTCACATCGTTCTGTTTATTTCCCTGTCTCTTCACAGTTAACCCCGGCTGCATTTTCATCCATGTGGATTAATGATGGTGGTCTGCACGCCGTTGCCTACACACGCTATTTGTTCTCAGAAAGAGACTGACAATAAGCAAAAATCATCATGGACAAAAACATTCTCAGAAACCGACTGTTGTCATGAGAACGGGGTTGTTGTTTTTTTTGGGAGCTTTTTCTTCCCTTTTTTTAGCAAGTGAAAACAGTCCTCATATAAAATCTGCCTTATTTTATAACTATCTGACTCATTCAGATTTATATTTTTTAAAGGTTTGCTGTGCATGTGAACATTTGTATATAGAACAAATGAGTGTATTATAACACAGGAAATGTAGCTAATAGAAAATGTTTTATTTTTCTGATTGTAATGGCAGCACATTAGTCAGTAGTGTTCTGAAAATTGATTAACAGTGGTTATTGCCATGTGACATTTTATCCTTTTGAGTCTCATCCTCGGAACTTATTTCTGTTCACGAAATATGATCCTCACGTCATGGCAGAAAAATGTGAAATGAAGATAGACTTTGTTTGTTCTTCTTCATTACAACTGTTGATTTTTCCCAGTCGCCTCCTTGTACAGGATTTGAGGGTGATTAAAAAGAAATCCAAGACTTTCTGCATTTCAGTGAATTTAATTGCATTTCTGTTAATATGCATATAAAGATATTTTACTTACTTTTAATGCTCTCTGAAAAATATACATTCTTTTTCAACTCTTGGAAACAAGTTTGAAATTGATTTCTTCCCCCACTAGTTCCCATGTTTTATTCCGTCCAAACTAGTGGTGAAATCACACAAAAATTATTAAGGTATAGGCCTACACTGGAAAGTTCTGCTTGGCTGTCTACGATTTGGTATTTGGATAACAAGGATATTGTCACAGGGTGGCTAATAAAAGACTATTACTGACACTATAAATAGATAAATGCTGTGGTAACAGTACTTAACCTCCCTAATTTGTGTTTTTTGGTGGTCCCTTCAACTATATTGCAATAGGTCTGTCTGTATCTCACAAGTGCATGTGGAGTGAGTGGGTTTGCCTGAAATAAATCTTTCAAAACACCCTAAGGCCAACTGGCTCTCGTCATACATAATGTAATGGCTCATCTCGTTGCCCGGATTCTAAAATCATATCTTATCCTGCAGGTTTTAATCCATTCTGTGTGATGGTACGTTCTGGTTGAATCATCATGAGTGAAACCTCCTGTACCTGCTCTCTGTCCTAAAGATAGGTCTCAGGTGGTATACAGCCTGCCTTTTAATGGGAAATCCTCAAAAGATTACAGTTTTCCTTACAGTTTTCCCTCCTCATGGCAGCAGAATCGTGAATTTAATTTTCTCAATTTAAAGCATTGACATAACTGTATATGTGCAGCCTGTGTTTTTCAACATGACTATGTTAGTTTGTTCACTAGTTCAGTTTCCAGGGGTTGTACTTTCCCTGCATGTTCTGTTACTCAATCTGTTGCAAGTGCATGTCCTTGGCAAATGATGATGCACTGACGGATTCTTGTTTACACAAAAAGTAATGATTACACAGAGGGATTTTCACCCCAAATGACAGAATCTGCCCGTGAACATTACTGAATCAGACACACAGAGGAGTGGCAGATACCCATTTTACTGGAAAACATCAGTAAGTTTGTCACTGAACATAATGTGCTGGAAAGAATTTGTCACAACTCGCTTTATTTGCAGTGGAATATTTTGCAATATTTTCCTCATCCTATTTAATCCTCTCTGTGTTTGTTCTCTTGAATTCTAGCAATGAGGTCCTGCAGTGTTTACGTGTTTGTCTTGTGGGCATTTTTCTGCCGTGCGACTTTCTCCTGCCCGACTTCTTGCCAATGCTATTCCAGAAGAGCAGAGGTGGTCTGCAATGATGTTCCTCTGACGGAGTATCCCTCTGAGGGTCTTCCAACTGGTACAGCCATGCTAACCATCCAATTCACAAACATCACCTCCATCTCTGAGCAGCATCTCAGTGCCACGCCACTGCTGAGAGAGCTTCACCTATTTGAAAACCAACTGGAGAGCCTTTCCCCTCATCTTCTCAGGAGCGTTCCTCAGCTTCACACTTTGGATTTAACAGGAAACAAACTGAGCAAGCTTCCTGCGGATGTCTTCAGCCACGCCCCACTCCGGAGCTTGGTGTTGAAGAACAACTTCCTTAAAACGGCCGATGCAGAGTGGCTCTCTCGTAATAGCAACCTGACCTGGTTGGATCTATCTGGAAACCATCTGACAAAGATCCCTTCTGTTCTGCTTCAGAAGTTGCCCAACTTGGAAAATCTTGACTTGTCTAACAATCGTGTAGAGAAGGTCCTAGCCGATTCTCTCGACCATCTGACCAAACTTGAGAGGCTAGATCTGCAGGGCAACAAATTAGAAACTTTGGCTGCGTCTGCATTCCAGAGCATGCATAACCTCACTTATCTGTTCCTCAATCGTAATAAGCTCAGCAAACTCCCCCCAAACCTCTTCCATGATCTCTCACAGCTCAAACACCTGAATCTGGATGACAACCAGCTGAGCTCCATCCCCACTGGACTGCTGGACCCACTGAATTCCCTGGAGGACGACGGGCTGGACCTGACTGCCAACCCCCTACAGTGTGATGGAAAAGTGGGGTACCTCTGGAGGTGGCTTCAAAAAAACAAGAAGAAGGTTTTTCTGGCAGAAACTCTTATGTGTTCTCTGCCTGAATCCTTGTCAGGGCGCTCATTATTGTCCCTTACAGAAAATGAACTTAACATTCAGTCTTAACTTCCCTTCTATCATTATTTTACAAATTTGATTCAGTCTGTCATAGGTTGCAATCATTTGAGTCAAAGAAATGTAAATTGAATGTCTTGTTATAGTGATTAAACAAGTGAGTTAATACATGACATTAATAAAATACTTTGAAGAATCACGTTTCCGTCCATTTTCTATACCCGCTTATTCCATGTTGGGTCAACAGGGGCATATTCACTGGGAGAAGGGCTCTGTTTTCAAGGTTAGGACAGGTTTTGTATATTAATAAGTCAGATGTGGATTATTTTATGAATTTGATCCTGCATGGGTTGGAAATAAGAAAGAAAAGTCTGTCATTTCCATTTTCTGTTAGTTTTTTTTAGATGTGATGATACTTATCTTGTAACTGATGTTCAAATCACAGAAAGTGAACATATTAGGAATACATTTTATATCATGTTCACCTGAGTCTTTAAACCTGTCCCTGATAATCCATTAAAAAAGCAAATGTAACACATTTACACGTTACGTTTTTTTCTAAACATTAGTATTGTACACAACAAGTTATCAAAAAATGCTTGCAAAGAATACTCTTGTAGGCAGGAAAAAATAAGGTATTGATTAATGTGTGGTAACGGAAAGTACAGAAAACAGTAACCACCAGCAGCTGATCAGATGGTTTGTTTGCTCGACTTTGTTTGCCTCTTGCAACATTTTGTCCTGATTTACTGAAGTTTGTCCAACAGTCTTTAAAAGAGTCAGAAGGGTAAAAACACATAAAGGATTTTGTTCGGCCTTTCGGGTAAGTCTGTGTTTTTTATCATTATTTTTACAAGTTGTTTCTTTATCCCATGAGTGATTTTAATTGCAAACATGTTTTTTTAATCATTTTTCTGCAGTGCTGTGTCATTAAGATGAAATTCCTGCTGGTTCTCACCCTCATGTCTCTGGCTGAATTCGATTACCAGAGACGGGCAGCACACTCGTGTCCAGATCTGTGCTCCTGCTCTTTCCTGTCGTCTGGTGCTGATGTTGTGTGCAGCCTCGGTTCCCTCAAACACTTCCCTGTGACTAATTTACCCTCCAACACTTCAAAGTTGTCTATCCAATCCTCAAACGTCAGCAGCATTACAGAGAATAATTTAAAGGTTGTTCCCCTCCTAAACTACCTTCAGTTATATCATACCAAACTTTCAAACCTTCCCTCACAGCTTCTGAGTGCCGTGCCCCATTTGAACACGTTGGATCTCACAGGAAATCAACTGGCCGACCTACCGGCGAACATCTTCAGCCACTCCTCACTCCGTAGTCTGGTGATGAAGGGTAATCAGTTTGAGAGGGCAGAGCCGTCGTGGTTCCCCGTCAACAGCAGCCTCACCTGGCTGGACCTGTCGGGGAACCATCTAAGCTGCATCCCTGCGGCTCTGCTCCAGAGGTTGCCACGTTTGCAGAATCTGGATCTGAGCGACAACAATCTCCAAGCGATACAAGTTAACTCACTGAAGAATCTGCACCACCTGGAGACGCTGAACCTCGCGGGGAACAAGCTGGTCTCCCTGGCTCCCGCAACTTTTGCCCACAACCGTGAACTGAAGCAGCTGTTCCTGCAGGAGAATCAGCTGAAAGAGTTGCCGGCGAACCTCCTGCGGGGCCTGACACACCTCGACCTTCTGCTGCTCAATCAGAACCTGCTTCCTCACCTCCCCTCAGGTCTGCTGGATGGGAGAAAACCCTCTTTCCAGGCCATCTTAACGGGGAATCCGTGGAAGTGCGATTTTCAGATAGAGTATCTGTGGAGATGGCTGACAGTACATCCTCAAAATGTTCTCTTCCTAGAGGATGTGACTTGTTTCAGTCCTGAGACTGTGAAACATCAGCCTGTTGTGTCTGTAACAGAGAGACAGCTGGGTGTTAAATCGCACAAGGATATGAACATGGAAAAGTAAGTTTATTTCGAGGTTGCTCCCTACATTCTTATGACAACTAAAAAAAATGAACAAACACACCTCTGTCCTTGTGTCTTATTTGGATGCTGTTCAGCTCAATGGGTGGCTTGACAGCTCTATAAAAAAGGCATGTATTTGGCACATTGCGTCCAGAAATGTGCCAAAGCAACTGTCGCTGTGTTGTGAATGCATTGATCCTTTTGATTTTTTCAATTTAATTAGCAAAATTGAAAATTCAAGACATGTTCCAGGGAAAGGCTTCAGCCCCCCTCCCCTGGCCCCGCTGGGAATAAGCGGTACAGAAAATGGATGGATGGATGAACGTGTTCCATTATAAGCCACTTTGCCTGTGGATGTTTTCAGGATTTTTTGCTGTTTTGAAAATAAATAGGTGGAAAAAATAGCGTTTCTTTTATTTCTCCCTTGCACTAGCTGATTGGTTTCACGTGTTGTTGCAGCACAGATTGCAGCATTGTTTCAGTCCTGCCCTTTGTTTTTAATGATGTTGCGCACGTGGGTGTGTGTGGGCAGTGTGATGGCTGAATCTTGCTGTTGACCTCTTCTGGATGTGTTTAAATCTCTCTATATTTCTTTGCCTCCAGTTTCTTCTCTTTCTCTTAGTGTGTGTGTATATATCTTCCACATACCCACACACTCTAGTGCTCACGTCTTGATCACATTAAAGTGCACCAGACAATAATTTATTACACTAATAAAACATCAGCCTTCACAAGTTCTTACTTACAAAAATTAAAGCTTGTTCGCTTATTTTACTCAGAGGGCAGAACACAAGAGGTTTGATGGATATCTTTCATTCCTCTTCTCTGGGATCCACCCTTAAAGCTAAAGATTGAGGAAGGAGGCTGGATAGTTTGAATCCTAATTCCCTTTTATGAGACTCCCCGCTTTCGATTGAAGCATCTGTTTTGGGGTTTGCGAGAACTGCGAGATCCTCTGCTTTAAAAACTGCTGCAATTCATCTCCATCTAATCCTATGAACTCTCTGGCTTGGACATTGCCAAGTGTTAGGCAAAATAAAACGATGATAAATAGTGGAGGAATGTCTGCTCTGACTTTAATGACTGCTAATGATGACTGATTGACAGTGAAATCTAAAAGGCCAGGGGTAATGTCTTCTTACTCTTGTAAATTTGCTTCAGCCTTTCCAATTTAGTTTAGGAATAACAGACATGATTATCTCTAAAAGGGACTCATTACTACCAATTAGTTCAGTTGCAATGATATACTAGGTTCAACAATGTTTCCTTCCTTTTTGAAGTAAGTTAATTCATTACACATACATAGATCAAATTTGAAATCATATGATCATCCAGGACTTCACAAACCTAAACATATGGTGTCCTGTGAGTCAGAAAAGGTTGTCGGACTCATTAAATTCTCACCTCAAGGTGGGTGAGAGAAGTAACAAGCAGCTACCTTCGGGAACTTGAAGTTATTATCATGCAAGAATATTCACACTAAGCATTTTTTCTACCCTCCAACGTTTTGTTTTCACAGTATTTTATTAAGTACTTGAACTTAAATCTCTTCATAACTTGAATGTACATAGACTACGTCCCTCTAGGAGAATCAATCAATATATTGTTGATGGTGAGAAAAGGAAAAAACCCTTATTTCATGTGTCGACCTGTGACTTCATTTATCATAATCCTTCAGAGACTTTAGTCATCTCATTACACAGCCCATAAATCATCACTCTACTAGACAACATACACATGGGACAGGAAAGGTGGTACAGTATTGCCTACGAGCATTATCTCATTATTGGCAAAGCGGGCGAAGATCGCTTACCCTGCTGCATGGCCGCTTGTTGGAAATAGCCTCCCGTCCTCTCCAGGGAAATGTGTTAGGAGGCTTTTAAAGCATGGGCATTGAGCCTAACAATTTACCACAAACTGATAATGTTTCTTTTCAAGAATAAATCTTTGTTTTGGGAAATTGTGCATGCATACATTTTTAGAAACCTCAAAATTCAGAGAAATAAAACATCAGTTTATGAGACAGTCAAAACTGTGATTGTACAGACTATTGCCATAATATCCCTATCAAGCATGCTTTTGGTAATGGAGTGACAAACGATGAATATGATAGGCCTGAAAATTGGAATTGGCTATGGAAATCTGAGTGTAATGACAATTTCATCCTTAGAAAATGTAAGATTTATGCCTGGGAAGCTAAGATACATTTACACCTCCCACAAGGTCTTCTGTTATCCTCAGAGGATACTCATCCACTCATTACAATGAAAATATTTTTAAAAATCACTGCAGCAAATATGTACAGTCCCAACAACTAATTAGAAGCTAAAGGAAATACAGAATCTGCCAAGGAGAAACTGTTACCGCATCCTATTCTTAGTCCTACCCTTTAGTTTTTCAATCCAGGGATGGCAGATTGATTTCCACATTAACATCCAAGTGTAATCACCCATGGTGACCCACACTGGGGACAAATGGTCCAGGGAAGTTTAATTACCTCCAGCCAGGAAGACAACAACGTAGTGTTTAATCACAGTTTGACGTCTATATCTCTGCAGTGACTCCTTGCAGCCTGTGCCATAAGTTATTGTGTCTATTTTATGATCTTTCTTTTTTTTTTAACACCGAGCCGATGTGTGGTATCATTATCATTCCACTCCATCTGTCCAGAGAGACTTTCTGCAATGCCCATGAAGAAGGCTTTAACCTGTTGTAGTGGTGTCTTGCTGTGATGTGGGGAAATGAAACTCGTTTGAAATATGCAGAAACAAGGTCGGGGTTGCGTAGGAATCTCATATGTCACTGACTGGGAGCAGGAGGGGGTCAAACCGACTGTTTCTGAAGTCAGGCCCAGATGAAGTGGATAGAAAAACAACAGTAGCCGTGGGTTTGAACGTCCCTGTACAGCGTATTTATTTTATGACAGGACATGCCTCTGAAAAGATGTCAAGATTATATGCGGTTCAGTGGGAAGAAGGACTCAGAGGCTATACTCATGCCTAAGCTTGAAATTATTAATATTAATTAATTAGATTAATTGAATTCATTAAAATTAATAGTAGTGCAAATACTTTTTTTTAAAAAGCTCATTCATTTGTTGATCAAATTTTTAACAAGAAGATTCTTATGAGACATTTGTCAAAAGCAAAAAGCCTTTGTCTTCACATACCAGTACAAAACCTGAATTTCTCATCTTTAAAAAGTGTATTTAGTGATGTGCTAAAGTATGGATTTGAAAAATGTTATTTAAAACAGCTCGCTGTCCCAATATTTGCCCTAAAGTTCTGGAAACTGCCTGTAGTTATATTCAATGATTAAATAAGAGTGGGACCAATCTTTTAATCAAACATTTTGCATGAATGCCAGTTTTCTAAATGTCAAACTAATATAAATGGACACATGCGACTGCTTTCCACCTGTTCATCTTAACTACACAGCATGTAATCATATTTCCCATAAACAATGCAAGTGACATTTCATCGTACAAATATATTTCAGAAAGTGTTTTTTTATTTTGGAATTTTTCATGTATTTTTATATAACCTTATCTGATGCACATGGGAAAAATCTGATTGCACTCGTCTAAAGATTAGTCAAGAGGGTCTATGCCAAATGCCACACAATTCCACATTGTAAAGCCATCACACTCCAAGTGTATGCAGACATCTCAGTGAATAGATATGTCCGGTATTAACCCCATTAAATGTTTTAGTATTTTTGTCAATTGTTTTAGAAAGTACATTCCAAATGTACTTGTCATAACTGTAAAATTCCCACTACAGGACAGGGGTTTGATGACAAGCCGTCAGTGAGCAGATCAATCAGAAATTAATAACAGCTTGTGGCTTTTGTTGCTCCTCAGACTGACGAACACGGTACATGGAAGAATGATTTCATTTGAGCTGCTGTCTTTTACGTCCTAATTAAATTAATTTACCAAAGACACAAGCAAAGAATGAATTGATTTTTTTTTTTAAATGAAGTAGCTTTGGCTTTGAACAAGTTGTTTGAAGCAGCAAGTTCTCACTGGGGCTGATCAAAGCAGTCAGCACAACAGTAATGCAGAAACACCAAACACTAGACTGATAATCCAAACACTCAGCCATCCAAAAGTGGGTAATATTTTCTAAAAATGGATCAAGATTCATAGTTTTGAATAATGCAGAAGAGAATTAACTTTACTCTAGGGGACAAGCAGTGGAATGTAAAGAGATTAAACATTGTTTTCATGCCCCCAGCGAGCTGAATGAATGTTTTCTTTTTTGAACTTCTCTTTCAAATAAATAATTTTCAATGCTGAAAATATGCACAGTATCAGAGGAGTAAACAGTATATGTAGAAATGTATATATATATATATTATACTATATTTCCCTTCCATTTCTATTTTACCAAGTGGACTCACTGAGGGCTTAGGTTGAAAATACATATCATTTTGATGCTTATTTAAATATTTTCTTAGCTTTGTTTGACAGTGGCATGACTGGAAAGGGAAAAGAGAGGGGTGGGGGGTGGGGGAATGTGGCAAGTGATGGTTCAACATTTACAGTGCACAAGTTATTAATTTGATCTAAAAAAACCAAGAAAGTCCATTAAATTCTGCCCACTCTATACATTTCTGTGTTGTTGGGAACCCTCAAGTATAGACGGTTTCTAAGAGAGCCTATTTCCAGATAAAACTGTTAAAATGATCAGGTTAGAGGGAAAGAAGAGAAATGGAAATCCTTTTCAAAGATAGCTTAAGATAGTTCGGCGCCTCATCCCCCTCTGCTATTTTGTAGAAGGTCACATTTAATCTGTGCAATTATTTGCAAGCAGTTTCATGCTGCTCTCTACCTTAATCAAAGTTCTCTGGGGCGTATCTGAGCAGCACTTAAAGGCGTATATAACATGTTCTTCTTGGAAACAGCAAAGATTTTCACAGCAACGTCTAAAGAATGCCTTTCCATTAAGTCAGAATCTGACAGTGCAATTATCTATTCCCTCTCTGGCAGATGAAAATATCTCTCAAATAAACGGCTCAGAGGGCCATGCATAGCATTATGCTCACACATTCTTGTTCTTGCAGCATGTGCATTCATTAAAATAGATACCTGTGTTAATATGACCCTGTAATATTCTATAACTGATATGTTAATGTGTCTCATTTCGTATGTAAAAACCTGGGTATAGAGCCAAAGCCAAAGTGGGTGACTTATGCTGAAAATTTAATCTGGATAGCTGACTCCTTTTCTTGAAGGAAATGAAAGACTTGACACCAACTATTCATACATGGGACATCTTTGCCTGAGTTTGTCATAAGCTTTCATTTGTCCATCCACTTGTATACTTATATCTCCCTATTTTTAGACGGGGAACAGGTGTTCACAATCCTCTCTTCAAAAGGTCGGGGGGGGGGGGGGGATATGGTCAAGCTATCTATTCTATTTATTGAAATGGTTGAGCGTAACACAATTCTTGTTACCTCAACGCTGAACAATCAGTGCCGAGGCTCATCTGGACACCACACGTGAGCTTTATGAATGACACTGAACACCTGTAAGTGACACTTTGTGCTTCTGAGCGTACATTTCCAGTGAAAGCCGCGGTTGGTTCGCTCCGCAGCTGTTAGAAATATCTGACGGTCCAGACTGAATGTCACATTGAGTTTATTTACGGCATCCTTAAACATGTTACAAGGCTACAATACAGAGGCACTCAGACAGCAGAGTGATACAGGAGGAGAAACCATATTTCACAGAGCTCGCATTGCTTATTACCTTCTAAACTGTGTCTGCATATTTAGGTAGAATTAAGCAAAGATAAGCAATCATACAACTTTCAAAAAGAAAAAAGTTTGCCTATTAAATCAACTGATTAAAATGACAGTGTACCCACCATGTCTGCTTTAAACAAATGCCTCTGTGAAATTATCATCTTAAATTTACAAGTGCAAAGATGAATGTATGTACACATATAAATATATAATTTCAAGAAAATAAACTATAGAAAGCTGGTTAATAACCAGTGCTATTTTGGTGAAGAGATAATGAGCGGTTTTGTGTTAACGTTTGTCTTCAACACCCACTGAATGCAGCAGATGACCAGGTTGTGGGTGTAAAAACTGGTCATTAGCCAGCAGATCACACAGGTCAATTTAAAGTACAGTACACATGACTGTGGCTAAACTGGCAAAGGGGTGTATACATGTGCGAGGGAAATCATTAGTCTGCACATGTAGGTAGGCGGCAGAGAGAACAAGTGATGTTTGGGTAAGCCCGTGCATACGCGTGTGTGTCTGTGTGTGTGCGCTCATGCATATAAATTTTAACTTGATGGAGCTTGGGTTTATTTGCATGCGCATCCGTGTAAGGAACAATGTGCTGTTAAACAATGGACATTCCTGCCCCACCTGTCAGTGTGAACAAAGGCCCTCTTCTCAGGCTTTGACATGTGTGAGTCTGCAGCCGGCCAGAAGAGATAGCACTCCTCTATAGGACATGTGTGGGCGGACAGTCTGCTGAGTCCTCCCTGACCACCTTCGTGTTTTTTTTCTTCCAGGACATGGTGCTCTGTGGAGAATGTTGCTCAGAAGGTACCGGTGCTGAATGAGCGCCCACTTGCTAATATGATGAAGTGACATGGGACTGATGTATGAACCCCGTCAGAAAGACAAGGTTTAAAGTGTGCCAGCTCATGCTCTGATCACTATGTTTGAACCGAACATTTTTGCCACGGCCAATCAGGCTCCTCGACACATTTACAGCATGAATTCATATATACAAACCATATTAATTTACACATGTTAATTTGTAAGTTAGCATGATAATGTTACACATTATCAGAAATCCCTTTAACTTTGCAACGTTATTGGCATTTTAACCTTTGATTGAAGTATAGCTGAAAAGATGCTGGTGTTTTAGTGGAAAGCAGGGTAATGGAGGGTCCTATCATTTGCCTGTACCTTTTTAGAAAATGGGTTGAATAATACATGTAACATTTGAACTATATAATAACTGGTGTCATATGCTCATTTGATAAAACAGATAAAATGGTTAAAACGGTTGGGCAGAGCAGAAAATAAAACAGTCTGGCCATATCTGCTGCAAGGTGAGGGTGTAAATACATGACCCACACAGCTGTGTTTAAAGCTACAGTCACATCTCAGATAAGCACAGATAAACTTTGATGCTCAGACCTACTGGAGCCCCTTAACTTTATAACAGACATGCAAATTCATATCTTTAGCATAAACAGTATATTTTAGTAACAAAGTACTATTTAAGAGCGAACAAACTTTACAAAAAAGAAGATAAAGTGCCATGACAATTTAAAGTAACTTAACTAGACTGGAGTTACTGAATTTCATCATTCATTTTTTGTCAGATATTTAACTACAACAACAGTCTTTAAACATGCTTTTGACGCCCTTCATGTTTATAATTCTCTTTTTGGTTGCTTCTCACACTGTATTACTGCCGTGTCTCCATGCTCAGATAAATTTGATCTTTCCAAAGGTTCTCATTGGGGATAAAGTTAGGACTACATAGTGCTTTTGTCATAGTTCTACTGAAAGAGAAACTTTGTTCAACTTTTGGTTTTTCATTACTTTGACATGTTCAGTTTCTGCAGTATCTCAGGCAGAAACGCAGCCCCACTGAATGATAAACTGCCACCACCTTGTGCTGTGGCAGGCTGTTCTTTTTGTTTCTGATCTGATTCCACCATCTGCGAACAAACTAATGTTCTTTGGAGGATAGAACATTATCGTGGTTGGCTTCATTCATGCAGCTTCACCCCTAGAAAACAGTAGCTTGTAAATGTTTGTCCTTAGTAATTTTTCAGCCCCACTTGTTTCAGTTTCCTGTATGGGTGGGTTAAAACAACCATGCAGAATGCTCCAGCCTGTGAATCTACAGCTTATGTGAGGCTTAATTTTTTTTCTGTTTCTTTTTTGTGCCACATTGTAAAGGCAATTTAACAATTTAATTGATGTGATGTGTACTGGTGTTATTAAGAACTCTTAATATGTAAGTTGTATCTATTTATTATTAGTTGAATTAAAGCATTTCTGATGCTCAGGGACAGCCCTGACTTCCATCACTGTGTAGAGACTTATTATATAAGACCATCACTGAAGTGTCAAACTAATCTATTGACTGGTCAATCAAGTCACACGAATAGCACATTTTGGCACATTAGTTTAACCAATGAATTACACTAAAAATAACTGGAACTAATTCAATCACAAGATTGCAAATTTTCCCCTGTTGACACAACAGATGCATTTAGTAGTTTTCGCTTTCAAACTATTTACAAAAATATTCTGATTCTATAAAGTTGGTTTATAAGCATCTGTTTCTGTAGATATACTAAATCAAACATGTACATGGAATGCTGGTAATTGTGATTGAATCCACCATCAACCAGACAAACCAGCACCACATCAAAATCGGGCCTCTCGATGCTCTCAGCGTCCTTACTGTTTTCATCTTTTCGTCGTGTGACAACCAGAACGCCGAGTGTTTACAATCAAAATGTCTTACTTTGGAATTTAATACATGACTGTGCAAAGGAGCACAATCCTGACATAAATCATCCTGCAGGTTTCCATGTGTCACTTTGGACATGAAGTTTGAATTAAATATGTCAGATTCTAATTATAACTCCCCTGCTGTGCCAACTAATTATCATAATGGCTGTTCTATTTGTGCAGCAAGTTCCATGTCACTCAGACTAATGGTGTAGGAGTTGAGACCTTTCACGAGTGGGAAAATGTCACCTTTAAATAAAGCACTTTAGAGTTCAAGTTTAAACCTGAGGCACTGAGTGAATACGCTGTATGCTTTCAAGTTAAATCAAAATGAGAACGGTAACGTCGTAAGAGAAACCTGGGAGACAGCTCTGCTCATTTATCATTCGTCCTGGATTTCTATCGTACTTTTTGCATTATTTTATCCTCTTGCCTGTTGCTACTTCCCACCATCTTTAACTTCAATTTGATTCCACTCAACATAAAAAGAGAGATGACAGCTGCTGCTAAATTAAACCCATTATAGAAACATGACCTGCAACCAGACAAGCTTCTTAGTGTTATTGATAAAACTCTAACTCAACTGGGAATTTATGCAAATGACACATTTGTTGCAAAGATTTCAGCACAAGGAGATTTACATTAATTGTATTACCCTACGGTTACAAAGTGAGATAACTCACATTGATCCAAATACAAACAGAAATTAAGAGCTCTCCTGTTTTTACATATTTATAGTAGTTAAAATTCAGCCATTAATCGTATAGAGTTATATTACTACTTAAAAAACTCATGATGTGATGTTCTGTGATGTACAGAATTTAAGAATCTGTCAGTGGATAATTGCTTTGATATTGTCTTTCCTGAAGAAGTCCATTTTCTTTCTTAATTACAATCACATGTTGTGATATACAGAAGAATACACAGCACTCTGCAGTATACTTATAAAATATAGGTATTGGTTATATATGATTATGGGGGAAATCTGTGATCTGGTTGTTCAGATAAAACTCCTCAGCATACCAACTCACTGCACAAAGGCGCAGCTGCTCAGGTCACACACGTGTCCATTTTGATCGATGCATCACTGCGGCGTTATTTTTACAAGACTATGTACAATCTAAAATCATCGTTTTAATCATCATCAATCTAACCGAGCAAACGCTGAACGATGCATTTGAAGTGATCGTTTTATTTCCACGAGTTCTCTGTTCATGAGATAAAATACTCTGCTGCATCGGTCGTGCTCTCAAAGCTTGTCTCCATACTCGGAGTCTGGATTTTCGATCCTCTCCTGCGATCTTTCAGTAAAGGTGTGTATGTCTCGCTGTGACCAGAGCTCATGGAGTTGTCCCAGATCCCAGCTCCGCAAACGTGTTTGTGGGCCCCGGGTGATGCCCTCAGCTCGCCCTCGCTGGTGCGCAGCGCCATCAGTTCAATTTCGTGTTTGGCTGCAGTCTCCAGCACCTGTTGCTTGTTGTAGAACAAAACGAAATTGTTGATGATCGGGTGTATGGGTAGGGCTATGGCGATAACCCCACACAGAAAGCTGATGGCCGCGTTACACCGACCTAAAGTGGTCTTTGGATACACGTCCCCGTATCCCACGGTGGTCATGGTGATCACAGCCCACCAGAACGACTGTGGGATGCTCGTAAACAGAGTTTCTGGGTGATTCTGCTCCATGGTGTAGCCCAGTGCTGAGAAAAGAAAGACCCCCACACCCATATACATGAGGAGTAGTCCGAGCTCTTTGAAACTGCTTTTTAGGGCAGATGTGAGGGTCTGGAGTCCGGAGGAATGGCGAGCCAGCTTGAAAATGCGCGCAATGCGCATTATGCGTAAAGCCTGCACCGCCTGCTGCACATTCGCCAGCTCCATCACACCCGCACCGAAGGAGGTCAGAATTAGAACCACGAAGAAGGGCATGATGGCCATGAAGTCGATTATGTTCATGAAAGACAGAACGAATTTGATTTTATTTGGGGAGGAGATCAGACGAAGGATGTATTCAACAGTGAACCAGCCGATGCACACCGTCTCGATGACCTCCAGAGTTGGATTCTCAGTTAGGTTTCCTTCCGCGTCTTCCACCTGCAGATCAGGAATAGTCCCAACACACATCACCACCGAAGAGATGAGGATGAAGATGAACGAAACAATAGCGATGATGTGCGCAGGCAGAGAAGAATCCGGCTTTTCCATCAGTCTCCAGAGGGACATCTGGAAGCGCTGACAACCTCCTGCGGATGGATCTCCCTCTCTGTCAAACAGGATAGTTCTTACTTTCTCGGCAATCTCTGCAAGTTCATCCTCGACCTCTTTTAGGTGGCTTTGACAGCATTCATCTAGATAATCTGAGCCGATCTTCCAGAAGTCCATCTCCTTCATGAAACACATAGGGCAGATGCCTCTCTTCATGTGTATCTCACCATAATAATACAACTCAATGATGCACTTAAATGCCTCGGGGTCTCTGTCAAAATAAAACTCCCCCGCGTCTGGGTCATAATCGTCACACAATAAAGATATTTCTTCCGAAGACTTAAGCGAGCAGTCCACCAGTTCTGCCAGTCTGGTGTCCGGGAAGCGATTCAACACGTCCCCATACAACACCTGTTTCACTCCGCCGATGTTCACCACAATCTCCGTCTCCTCGCTGGCTTCAGAGCCGTTGCAGTCTGCATAACGTGTCCTCTGGATCGCCCACATTATCCCGACGAACCCACCACAAAACAGCCCAGTTGACTGAGATTGCCACCAAAATATTAACAGATTAGGTCAAACGCACGTCACCGGACTCGCTGGCACTTTGCGTAAAGCCTCCGGGAGCTTTTAAAGTCTGTTTTTGGTTGATACAAAATTTCAAAAGGAAAGACAAAAATATGCCCGACTACAAGTGACTGCAGCATGAAGTGGTCTCAGTCTCATGCAGACGTGTGTGCTGGGAACAGTGCGCCTGTGCGCTCACAGAAAGTTGGCATTGAAGTGCGTCTTTTGTCAAGCTCAAGGGAACAAAGATAAAATTTCCGCATAGGTATTTCAAAATATAAAATGCTCCTCGAAAATTAATCAGGGAGATGCACAATCGCACAAGTGCACTTTGATACGCAAGTGCAGAGTATTTTTTTCTAAACACTTTAAGACTAAAATATATGTGCATATATATAATATACATAATATATTTATTTACATAATGCTGTAGAAGGCCATCTTCAGAGTTTAAGATGTTTATAAAATAACTCGTTTAAAGATTGACCACTGTCCTAAAACACACCAACTCAGTCTGTTTTGATTCCAACATGACCACAAAAACTTCGAACGAAATCCTATATTCTGTATTTTATTTTTGAGGTTTGTGCCTTCTTTTCCGGTTGGGATCTCGGTTTGGTGCGTTTGTGGTACTGTATTCCGATTTGTGTCTGTGGGTGCAGCGCAGTGCGGCCAGGCGGAGAAGATTGGGAATCACATTGATAACTGTTACATATGTAATGTATTAGGGTTGGATTTCCCTAGTTAAAAGCTAATTGGTATCATGAACTAATGAAACATTAGTTACACACCCAAACACACACTCACACATGTGTATATACTGTATATATACATTATTGATGCAATATATGTATGACACTATTATGGTCCCTATCTATTTATCATTTATTTGTTAATTAACTTACTTTATCTGATAAGCTGATGAAAAAGAAGTCAAAAGATTTATTTGAACAAAAACAAATCCAGTAATACAATTTACAAAGTTTTTACAGGTGTCCTTTCAAAACATATTCTGGTGTATATTTTTCTACTCGTGATTGAAGGTGTTCTCTGAGCAGGGACATGGGCCTGCAGCATGTCTTGTAGTTTGTCTCCACCTAGAGACTTCATCCTCACAATGCAGTAATGGCCAAAAGGCTTTCTGTTTTCTGCAGTCCCCTGAGAGCAGAAAGTTATTAATGTGTTATTCAGAGGGGAACAAACTATATGATAAATTGACAAGAGTCACATCTGAGAGCGAAAGAAAAAGAAAAAGACCTGCACTGCAGTGTGTTGGATCACAATTTAGTTAGTTTTTGTTTTGTTTCTTTGCAAGAGTAACATTTTAACTTAAAAATCACAGTCAACAAACAATTACATAATTATTTTTTAAATCTGCAGCAATCTTTTCTCGAAAACTAATTGTGTTGGAATTACTCAGTTGAATTTGTAAATACTTGACATCCAGTTAGAATTAGAAAAAAATAGAGGAATGTATCATAAGTAGATAAAAATATAACCGAAAAAAATGATCTAATATAGAGTAACAGACTGATGGCCAATAAATAAAACTTCTTGAAATCTATAAGAAGTGCATAAGCAACATTATTTTCGCTTCTTTCTTTTTTTTACCAACTGCACAAAATATTCCTATTCAGCATCAATAGCCTACTATCTAGAATATTGAAATAGTTTTCACCTGTTTAATTTTTATGGTAAGAGTTTTTTAAATTGTACTGTGTATGTGAAATGTAAAGTGGCTCGGAAGGCCAAAACACAAGAGCAATAGATTAACCTGGCTAAGCAAAGCAAGAATCATAACTTTCAGAATCCATCTTGGTTGGTATTTTTCTTTCATGTTGTTATTCTGTTGTTGGCCTTTGGCAAGTTGTATCAATCTGTCGTTTCTGCATACATACATGTCCAGAAACATTTACATATACACATACCCGAAAATCCCATCATTAAACTAAGAGTGAGTCATCCTTGTCATATCTTACATGTCCTGTTGGTGCAATTACATGCGTTGCTTCCCTTCTCCTCCAGCCCTTCTCCTCCTTTTCTCACCATAGTGGTCCATTAAACTACACGTCGCACGCTGATTGGTCAGAGCGCGCCGTCTCCACCAGAGGGCCAATCAGCGTAGGCCACGGTGAGAGTTTTTTTCTATGTACTTTCATAGGAGAGGCATCCGCGGTGGTAGACTGTTGTTTCAACTGAGGAGGCAAGAGGAGCGAAGTCAGAATCATGAGACCGCTTTTACTTGGTGAGTAACAACAGAAACGGCTTTCTACCTTTGAGAAATCTAATTATTTGGGATATCTTAATAGTTTATTGTGCTTGTGAGGGCGTCTTAGCTACTATGGTTAGCTTTGAAGGCTAAGTTTTGGTGCATGGACAGGCCTTCGTTATCGTTGAATCAATGAACTAATAAACGAGATTCGCACCCATTTGTTCACTAGTGAGTATATAAGGTCTATAAAAGTATTTGACCAGTGTCCAGCAGCTGACTTTCTTCGTTCGTGGACTTCATTTGTATTTGCATGAATGCAAATGGTCAGACTTTGCTGAAGGACCCTTCTGTGTCTTCTCATTGTGTTTCAGGAGTGCTGAGCTGCTGTCTAGTCCTGTCTGTTCAGGGTTTGTACTCATCCAGTGATGATGTTATTGAGCTGACACCCTCCAACTTCAACCGAGAGGTTATCCAGAGTGATACTCTGTGGTTGGTTGAGTTTTATGCACCCTGGTGAGTATAACTGTGTAGCAGCAAGTGGACACATTACTACCAACAAAGTTATTGGTTCTTTCCCCCTCTTTTTGTTCATTTTTAAAGTTCTTTCCTTTTGTGAAGCCTGATTTGGTCCAGACTTACATGCAAATCTGGCTGCCCCTCTTTTAAGTTTAGAATTTAAGTCATATATTAAGATATTCAATGATAAAAGATGTTCAAAAACTAATATTTTTAATCTGCCTGCTTGGGTGCATTATATGGAGCCAACTGATGATGCATCATTTAGTCTTGAGGTCCACACGGGTGACAAATACACTTTTACTTTCAATAGTGTGAAAACGTTAAACAAGCTCGTGTTGTCATCCGATTGTCCCCCAGCTGTCTTAAAAGTTTCATTCTCATAAAGTTGGACTCCATAAATAAATCGTCTTGCACTCATGATGAATAGGGCTCCCAGATTTTCTCACCTAGTATCAATAAAAATTGCATTTATTGTTGATTCTCTGTATCTCCTTTTGTTTATACTCTCAGGTGTGGACACTGTAAAAACCTTGCTCCAGAATGGAAGAAGGCTGCCACGGCCCTCAAGGTAAACAGAGCAACTGCAGTCAATTTGGGAGTGACAGCTGGCAGAATAGTATATTTTCTCAACGCAGTTATCAGAATTGTACGATAAAATGGACCCTGTAAAGTTTCAACCTGTCACAGTGTTATAAATGAAGACGTTTTTTTTTTTTTTTTTGGAAGTATATTTGGAGCATCTCCTCCAGTACAATTTATTTATTGCACAGTTGTAGTTACATAGTTACACCTCCACCTGTTCAATTTAATGGTTGCCTAATAATGCTTATTATGACAGTGTAAAGGTCTATTTATTTATATTGAATAATTTAAAGCAATGACAACGGACCAAAGCGCTTCAAAGTCTGAAATTGTGGTCATGAACTGGAGAAGGTAAAATCCAGGCTCCTAGTTGGCAAATGAAGCAGTAAATCAGATGGATAAAATTTTATCTTCCAATTTCCTCGGAGCGGTTTCTTACTAAAGCACAAGCGAGCACGTTAACACCTTCCTATAAATCCACTGGGAGGAGCTGTGCTGTATAATTTTATACCCCTGTCGTTCAGATAGTTTGTTTCTCTGTAGCGCAGCAGCGGGCAGCTTGTTGAAGTCATTGATACTATTTTAATAGGCCTTAAATTTGGATTTGCTGATCCCTGCTGCCTCAAACAGCAGCATAAAAGTATTTGATGGAAATGCATGCAGAAGGCAGGGTCTCTGCAAATGCACACACACCCCCACACACTTCCAGTGAGTCATTAGAAGGAATAGAGTTGTTGCTTTTGTGCTACAGTACATGTTCTTTGGTGTCAGTGGGCCTTTAGGTCAGATTATTTTTCTGAAGGTGGTTATTATGGATAATGTTTTGTCTGAACACATCTGTTCCGATGGAAAAATCCTGCAAGCGAGCGGACTGTGTGTCACGCGTTTGTTTCCATTCAGACAGCATTTGTGTGTTCTCAGCAGTTGGAATGACGGGCCGAGCTCCTGATTTGAAATGTGATCCCTGAGACAGGAAACTCAAAGCTGTTTGTGTCTTCTCAGGGTATCGTCAAGGTTGGTGCCGTGGATGCAGACCAGCACAATTCGCTGGGGGGCCAGTATGGCGTCCGAGGGTTTCCCACCATCAAGATCTTTGGAGCTAACAAGAACAGTCCGGAGGAGTACCAAGGTACAAATAAGAACCGTGCAGATCTGTAAATGTGAATTCATTTGTTAATTTATCTCTTTTAACGTTGTGGAAAGTGTGGAAACGTAAATGCGACAAAGAAAACCTTTCTGTGGGTTTTGATTAAATAAAACTAGCTAAAGCTTTGCCGCTTGCACCTCAGGGGGGCGCAGCAGTCAGGCCATCGTGGATGGAGCAATGAATGCTTTGCGCACTCTGGTGAAAGAGAGGCTGAGCGGCAAGTCTGGAGGCTCCAGCTACAGCAAGCAGGTGCGGGAGCTTTCACAACCAACAAACAACAAATTACAAAAAATCAAAATAGATATCCAGTTATTTTAACAATGCCCGGCCACTCCCCACAGAGCGGCGGTGGCAGCAGTGGCGGGAGCAAAAAGGATGTGGTTGAGCTCACAGACGACAACTTCGACAAGATGGTGCTGGACAGTGACGATGTGTGGCTGGTGGAGTTCTTCGCTCCCTGGTGTGGACACTGCAAAAAGTGAGTGTGGTAGCATCCCCAGCAAGGGTTGGAAACGAGAGCGTTGGAAACCCTGCACAGCTGCAAAGGGTTAGGGTGTGTGAATGTGTGTACTTATATTATGTTGATGACGAGTCAGCCCACTTTGAGTTTCTTAACATCAGTCGTGTTAAAAGAAAGCGTGGCACCCTGAGCATAGGTATCTGTGGAAGGTATGATGGAACCCTTGTGTACTCTTTTCCTTTCTCGTCAGCTTGGAGCCTGAGTGGGCAGCTGCAGCCTCAGCTATCAAAGAGCACACCAAGGGCAAAGTTCGTCTCGGGGCTGTGGACGCCACCGTGCACCAAGTTGTGTCCGGCCGTTATGGGGTGAGCAGCAAGGCTCCATTTTTGCTGTCTTTTAATGCAAATTTCTTGCTTGTTTTGTGCAGTCCATTCCCAGCCTTCATTTAACTTTACCTTGGTTAGCCAATCACAAAATTCAGTTTACTTATCTATTGCATCTCGTCTTGAATAGAGATTGTAAAATTAGAGGGCCGTCTCCCACAGCGGAGGTGCTTCACTGACTCAAAATTATCTTCATGTTCCATCCAGTTCCTGGATTTTAAGATAACAAGTGAATCTTTAGCTCTTGCCCCACATTAGTCTGCTACAGCTGGAATTCAAGGAATGTTTCTGTGTTTAGATTCGTGGATTTCCCACCATCAAGATTTTCCGTAAAGGGGAGGAGCCTGAGGACTACCAAGGAGGTCGCTCCCGTGGAGACATCATTGAGAGGGCTTTGGATCTGTTCTCTGACAACGCTCCTGCTCCTGAGCTGCTGGAGGTCAGTGCTTGTAACACAGACTTAATAAAGTAGTCAAATGTTTTCACACTCTTCCCCTTTGCCTAACTTTGTCAACAATGAATATGAATAAAATGTTTCAATGTTCTTTTCAGATCCTCGGTGAAGACGTCTTGAAAAAGACGTGTGAAGACAGTCAGCTTTGTATCATCGCTGTGCTGCCACATATCTTGGATACTGGTGAGAAGAAGCATGAGCACGTCTGGCTGTTTAAAGTTAACGGGACCCCTCAGAACTCATCCTCTGCTTCCTTTCCTCCTGAACAGGTGCAGCTGGTCGAAACAGTTATTTGGAAGTGATGATGAAGATGTCTGAGAAGTACAAGAAGAAGATGTGGGGGTAAGCACTCGGGCTGCGTCGTGGATTGTTGCAGCTGTTGGAGAAAGGTTGGAGCTCACTAAGGGTCTGCTCTTCCTCCTGCCAGCTGGCTGTGGTCTGAGGCAGGCACCCAGATGGAGCTGGAGGCCTCTCTGGGTATCGGTGGGTTCGGCTACCCCGCCATGGCTGCCATCAACACACGCAAGATGAAGTTTGCTCTCATGAGGGGCTCCTTCAGTGAGACTGGCATTCATGAGTTCCTCAGGTAGGGGCACACTTTGCCTGCTGCCATGGCAACAGACGAAGATTCTATGACAAATGCAGGCTGAATGGGGGATTCATTGGTGGCTGATGTTTTCAGGGAGCTTTCTGTGGGTCGCGGCTCAACTGCCACTCTGGGAGGCGGAGTCATGCCCAAGATCAATAGTGTCGAACCCTGGGATGGCCAAGATGGACAGGTGGGTGTCCCTATGGACGGGATTCTATTTTTATTTGCTTCGGCCAAGCAGCATCAAGCAGGGTGCAATGGGTTCCCACTGCTTTGTCAGCTGCTTTTTAAAGTGGCATCCTGTCTTTCTCTTTCTACCCTCAGCTCCCTGAGGAGGAGGACTACGATCTCAGTGATGTAGACCTGGATGACGACTTTGATAAGGACGAGTTATGAGTCCAAACAGGGTTGGATCTGATCCAGACAGGCCTGGTTGGATCTGGTCTGGTCCTGTGCGTCCCGCCTCCCTTCTCCTGTGGACGAATGGGAGGCCCGGTCGCCCAGTTACTGAAAATACTCCAGAAAAGACACATGAGAGACACCTGCAGTTTCTCACATCATCTTTCCGTCATGTAGGGACAGGTGGGAGGGGAGTGTGTGCGTCCCTGCCGTGAACTCTTTCTCACAAACCTGCTGAACGTCAGAGGCTGCATATTTATACAGCTGCCACCAGCTGAGGAGAGGAGTGCGCAGATTCTGAATGTTACTTGTCATTCAAGTCTTTTTCAAACATTGTTTCCTCTCCCCTCTTCAGCTGCCTTCAAGCACCTATTTTAAGATGTGGACTCGTGAAAGTAACACTTCAACCCGATGTGACTAAACATGTGTTTCGTCTTTAAAGCATTGAATGAGAATCTTGGTGGGTTTGCATCATTGTCTGTCCAGGAAAAGGGGAATACTGTGGGACTGCTTGTGTAGATTTTTCTTACACGACTTTATTTCAATTGTGTGAAACAAAATTACATTTTTGTTAAAAAAATAAAAAGGAATAAAAACAATTGCAGCCTCCTTATTCACATGAACTCACAATAAAAGGAAACACTAAGCACATGCAATATCAAAAGCACAGACTTTGTTCAAAACAAAAAGCTCCCGAACAACGATAAGCCACAGTTCAACAGCTGAGCCAAATAAAATGGTCTTCTTTATTTAATTAGTTTCTCTTGGTGTAGCATAATACTTGAGTATGATTCAGTCAGTACAAATATACAATATGGCACTTCACTTATAGAGAAACTGTTAAGAGATTTGGAAAGAGCACACACGTTTAATACTTAAGACTGAAAAGCTCATCGTGGTCCGAGAAGGAGCCACATGAGGAAAAGAAGTATACATCAATGTAAACAGCGTTAAATGAAAGGGGGGGGCGAGTGGTGATGCTGAGCAGCGTGTGTGTGTGTTCTCAGAACTGACGAGAGGCGCCCTGATCTGACTGCAGCAGTCTCACAATGGACGGGTCGCTCTTGGCACCTTTAATGAACTCCTCCAAAGACAATCTACCTGTGGAGCAGAGATAGATCACCGTCAGACAAACAGAAGGTGACTCATGCCACAACCACCCACCGAGAGCCTCTGACCTACAAAAAAAAAAAAAAACCATGGCTGCTGCAGATGACACAGAACCTGCAACATCTCCTGACAAGCATTGAGTTAAAAGGTGAATTCAACTCACACAAGCCAGCAGGTGACGCTGCAGGGCACTTTAAACAGAAGGACAATTACACAAATGTGATCTCTGTGATCAAATTAGAAATTAGATTAAAACAATATAAATCATTGATAGCGATTAAACTTTTCCAGAATAGCATGACTCATATCACTTTATTCCCCCATAAAACAGAAATAAATCATTCTATGTTTTATGTTTCTATGAACCCAGCCCTAATATACGCTGAAAAAGTTCAACATAAAACATCTGTGGTAGTCAGATCTTGGTGGACTTAATATCCCCGGCAGCTGCAGGCCTGGATAATGTGGCATTTTGAAACTTGGACCTTTTGCTTCCAAACAAACTGCTGAGCACCATCACGGGAATAGCTCCACATATTTGAGCTGTGACACGTCAAACACATTCGGAGCAGTAAGGCATGTCTCATGGGTGTAACATCACCTTCTCACACTAAATGTCAAACCAGCTGCATCAGGGAGGATCTGCAGGCTGATGCAAAACACACAGTGAATGATCCATTTTTATACAAATAGACTGATAGATAGATAGATAGATAGATAGATAGATAGATAGATAGATAGAT